TGCATGCTTGTGTCCATGCATGCTTGCTCGGGGCAATGAAGACTCAGATTTTAACTGTGTGGTCCCAGGTGAACACTACAGGGGAGCTGTGGATATCTTGAACCACAGAAATGCCCTAATGAGGCAGAGGGAAGGCTTGGGTCTTGGTACTTAGTGCGCCTGCCCCAGCCGCAGCCCCTCCTCCTCTCCCGGCCTCATCTCAATCACTCTGCTCTCATCCGTCTTTGGCTTCCTTGCTCCTGCACCCAGCATGTTTCTTGATCATTTGCAAGGATGGCCACCCTGTGTTGTGCATGAAATAGTTCACACTGAAGGTTTTCAGGGATTCATGCATTGGATTAGATAAGAGGCCTTGTTCGCACATGAGCAAACTAAGGGCCAAACAGGTGAGGCTGTACTGCAGACTCATTGGGTGCCACCTCGAAGACCGACCTGCCCAGTTCCCTTCTGCTGGCACTCCCAGTGAGTTACCTCGTCCATAGAGAAGTGAGCGCCCCCAGGCAGCTCTGAAAAATCAAGGGTATTCTTTCTTCTGCCGCCAAGTCTTTTACTTCCTGATTTTGGTACTCTTTGGGGAGTAAAATTTGAAAGGTCTAGTTGGGTCTATCCTTAGCTATCTGTCTTGAGAAGAGGAGGCATATTTTGACATCCCTAAAGGTAGCGAAGAGGAGGAAGAAAATGGTTTCCTTTTAAAATATTCTAGACCTGGTAAATCTTTCCTGCTAACTTAAGATAAAACCCTGTCATTCTGTGCAGGCTGATGGTGAGGAGCACCAGGCAGGCCTTCTGTGCTGACTTAACCCTGAGGACCTAGGGGCTCTCTCCACCCAGGAGTCTGTGCTCCCCAACCCCACTCTCTTGTGCTGCCTTCGAATAGCACCAGAGAAGTAATTTAACTTGAGCAAAGGCTGTGGGAGGCCCCTGAGCTCAGCCTGAAGAGAGGGGGATATTTTTGCCTCCTAGAGGAAGAAAACTCATTTTCCCAGTGCACCCTGCCCCCTCCCCCTCCTGTTCATATCAGCTTAATTTTCTTCTCCTCTTAATGAAGATGGATGAAAGCCAAGCTATATATTCAGGGGGAGCCAGTCAGGGAAGCCGAGTGAGGGGGCGAAGGGACAGAAACAGAGCTTCCCTCCTGGAGAGGAAGTAATTAATTATAAGTGAGAGCTAAGGTAGGGAAGCCCTTGATAATGGAATATCAGCCTCCAAATGCAGGTGGCTAAAAATGACACCAGAGCATGGCGAATCTCTTTTTATCTGTTCATTTGTACATTCAACAAAACTTTATTGAATACCTATGATAGGCAGACAGGGAACTCAAGAAGGCATCTGGAAAGCTTCTGGCTCAAGGAACTGGAGACAGGTTCAACCCCAAATCTAAGGCCTCCTGCCACCAAGATAAATCATTTACCAAAGTCCCACTGAATGGCTGAATATATTGACCTTTTGGATTTTGGATTAGCTGTTTAAATATCAACAGCTGTGACCCCGGTTACACCTGGCCAGCTTGTCTCCTCAGGGGTTAAATAATAATGTTGTCCGTTAGTTTTTCTGTTTACTGTTCCCATTGTTCCTCTGACCTCAGTCCAAACAATTAGATCAGTCCCGCCCTTTGGAGTGTCTGCTGTGATATCACAGAGTTGCCATAACAACAGACTATGAGGTCAACAGAATGCCCGGTACTGCAAAAAGAAGCACCTTGGTTAGAAAGGAGCCTGTCGTGTGAACAGAAGCACAGAGAAAGCAGAGGAGCTGAAACTTCACATCAGAGCATCTTGGCTATTTAAGATGACATTGAGCCGGGGTGCTCCTTTGCTGGAATCCTTTACAAACCTCCAAAGCACTTATGAACATTGATAAGAGCTTGTCTGGAGGCAGGGGGATAACGAGATGACCTTCAAAAGGCCTTGCAAGAATCCTAAAGCACAGAGGAAAGTGAGAAAGAGATTTGACTAGCCTTGACCTATGGAAAATTCAGGGGAATTACCATCCATGCAAATCTCCTAGCAGCCGAGCAGATCTGACAGTTACCAGCTGGAATTTATCATCTTGCATCTGGGAGGATTTGCAGCAATAGATACACAGTGACCCCCGCCCACCCACCCCATTCCCTGCCCTCTTCCTCACCAGCCTTGGGAGAAAGGTTTTCTTCCATTTCTTCTAGAGGAGCAGATCTTTGCCAGCAGCTGAGACTCCACTAACATCCTGCCCATCCACTTGGCCTGTGTGTGTCCAGCTTCTTCCCAGCTGGACCAGCACGCTTGGAGGGCAAATGAGCCATGCTGCCGGAGAGGCGAGTGGGTCAGGCCGAACACAGAGCTGCTTCTCGTGTTTTACGCTCCTGTCTGTAGAGATGAGAGCTGGGCAGGCTGAGAGGAGAGAACGGAGACTTCTTCAATACTCTTCAGCTTCACAGCAACAGTAACAGCCAATGAACCTGAAGCTTCCTTTAACCCTCAGAAGGGCTTGGGAGGTCTCTGAGAAGCAAGTAGGTTTGCAGCCCCAGAGCCTGTGTCAGGGCTGGAAGCTGGAGAGGCCGGAGCACCTTCTCCCTGCAGGTTGGGCTGGCATGAGTCTCCGTGCAGATGGGAATGCAGCCCGAGTTCCTCCGCCCGCCCAGCTGCTCAGTGTCCTTAGCTCAGTGAGGTCGGACTACCTGGAAGCGGTACACCTGCTCCGTGCATGCTTCTCTCCGTTTCTGCATTTCTGTCTTGTGAACCTGAGCTGGGAGGAGGTCTTCTCTCCATTTATTCTGCCTCCGGACCTCTAACTGTAGCATCACAGGCGAATGCTAGGAAGTTAAAGCCCCAGGCCCCCTAGGGGCAACTGGGCTACCCCTTCCATTGCCCAGAGAGAACCCTGTCCCTGTTCTCCTGTGCTAGAGCCAGGAAGAAAGGGCAACCCATGGAGTCTGCCCCAGCTCACCCCGCGTCTCTGCCACAGCATTGAGAACTGGATCCAAGGACTTACTTCTCAGAGGGATGGTAGCAGCAGGGTGGCTGGTGGCTCCTCCGAGGCTGCCGAACTGGGGACTGAGCTTCCAAAAAAGATGTTGAAGTTTCGGGCTGATCGACGGGTCAGGTAGGGATTTCCTCTGTGGACCAGGAGTCTTGTGAAATCATAGCAAGCTGAGTGGGTTGTTCATCCTGTTTGAATTTAGGGCTTGGTGGTGATAAGGGGTCTGCTGGAGATGACCAGGACCCGAAAGGAGAGTAGTTAGGTCAGTGGCTACTGCATTGCAGTGCCTGTGAAGGGGAGGCTATTTTGAAATTGGTAGCAGTGGGTGGAAGAGTGCATTGTTTGTAGGGTTGCTGGGTAGAAGGCTTAGGCCAGGGAGAGGTGTGCCATGCCCTGGAAAATTGAGCTGAGCAACAGCGGAGTGTGTGTGTGTGTGTCTGAATAACTACCTGCAGGGTGCTCCCAGAAACACAGAATAAAAGGTGCCTGGAGGGATTGGGTGGGTAGGAAGGAGGTAGACATTCTACACATTGGACAAAACAGAGAATTTGGCATTTTAAGCTGTTCATTGTTTCAGATTGCTACCCTCAGCCCTGTAGGGAGCCAAAGCCAGAGATAAGGGCAACAGGGCAAGTACTCCTCCCTGTAGAGATTCCATTGTTCCATTATTCCCTGTAGAGGTTCACATTGAGGGACCATCCTTATAAGATTCAGGAAGGAAGAATGACTATAGTTTAAGTGCAATGTACTGCATTTAAACCCAGGTCTGATGGATGCTGGTCAGGCTTTAAGTCCAGCTCAAGGTGTATAGACTCCAGGTTTCCAAAGAGACTGAAGCTGTTGCCTGCTGTACCTCTTTCTCCTGCATATCTGTGGTTTTGATCTGAACAGCAATGGTTGGGCACAGGAAAAAAAAACACCCTCTGATATTATCTTTAGCTTCAGCTGGCATCCTGAGGGCTGGGACGTGTCCTGGGGTACTGGGAGAGTGTGGAAGGGACCAAGCAAAGCACACTTGGCTCAGGCTCTGGTTGGCTTGAGAATGGTTGAGCAGAGGGCCAGCTCCTTGTTGTGGGTGTTCTGAAGCCCCTGTTTTAGCAGCCTCTGTCCCCGTGCCTGCTCTTTTGGTCAACTGGAGCCTGTGCTGGGCTCTCCAAGTGTATCTGAAGAGGTATCTAGGAGGAGCCTTTTCACAAATCTAGCCCCTGTGGGCTAGACACTATCACATTCTCGCCAAGTGGTCCCCACTTATCAAAGACATTGCTCTCCTGGAAGATGGTGCTTTCCTTCTGCATGTCCCTTGGGAGCCCACCCAGGAGCTGGCTTGACATCCTGTCAGCCAAAGGTACTTTCTCCTGATGCACCCATCTGTCTCATTTCCAGCCCCTGGAACTTATTCTCTCCAGCTTCCTGGCAGGCTCTCTGCCTAACTCCCAGCCCCACTCTTAGCCACAGCGGCCCTTAATTAGATCCAACTATTAGGCCAGAACAGACCTTTGATTCTTGGCAGATCCTGAAGGCTCTACAATGTCCTCTTAAAGGGAGACAATGGTCTTGTAGTGTGGTTGAGTCCCAGCCCCAGCTCAATCTTGGAGTTTCTGAGTTTCTTGATGAAGCATAGAACAGGAGAGGAGTCCAAGGTCACAAGAGAGTTTTTTCAGCAAATTATGAGCAAGCATTTTCTGTGTGGCAGACGCTGTCCCTGGGAGGGACGATGCTGCATGAAATCTTGACTGTCTCAAGGGCTGGGAAGCCCCTTGTCACCCTCCCTCCCACCGCCAAGGTGACCACTGAATGAATGTATTGACAGCCTGGGATCTCTAGCAGGTGGTTAAAACTGAGCCAGCAAGAGGTGGCTAGGTTTCATCCCTCTCTCCGTCCCCGCCCACCTGCATCCTCCTGTACTCTAGCCCAGGCATTCTCCCTCTCCCTCATGATCCTGCTGGGGAAACAGAGCCACAACTCCTTCTATGGCCTGCCAACCTTTGCTTGTGACTCTGCCTCTACAGCTGATGGCAGCTCTCTTCCCTCTTTCTCCACAGCCACAATGAAAGACGCAACACATTTCGACACCCAGTGACCAGCCAGATCCCAGAGGAGAACAAAAAGTTTGACTTGAAAATGTAAGTTCCCCTCTGCTTGTTTTCTGTCCTTTGTCACCACTGTCCTTTTGCTACTGTGTGTAGGTAGGGCAGGGGAGGGAGGAGGAGGTTATTTGCTGGTCCTCACCACCTCTGGCCATATCTCTTGACCCCTCACCCACAGTTCCCAAGTTCTGGAAGAAAACAGGTTGCTGTGTCCCATAGGATGAACTGAAGGAATAAAAAAGCCTGCTCTCATGTTGAGATAGCACCTGGGAGCCCTAAAGGTAGCACAGGGAAATTTGATGAAATCCAGAGATCTAAATGCTCAGGCTACACCGTGAATCCTGCCTCACTGATGGGGGAGGGGTAGTTCATAGACCAATGATCTATTGTGCTTTTGATCAATGATTTTTCCACCCTCTGGGATCAAATATATAGCTGTAAGTATGCCATTGAACCTTTAGAATAGAAGGCTGAAGGCCTGGTGGGTACATGCCTGTAATCCCAGTTTTTGGAAGCCTGAGGCTAGAGGATCTTGATCTCTAGGCCAGCCTGTCCCAAAATAGGGTACAGAGTAAAAGGCAGTCTATTATCTCAGAGTCTAGATTTATAAACATACATGAACAGGAGAAACTTACAAGGAGGGGGGCACATGCCTATGATCCCAGAATTTGGTAATCAGGGGCAGGAGAATCAAGAGTTCAACATCATCCTCTGCTCCATAGCAAGTCTGAGGCCAGTCTGGGCTGTGTGAGACTCCCTGTCTTTAAACAAACAAACCAGAAAAACAAAATAAGCCAAAGCCATAAATGAACAGAGAAGAGGAGGGAGATTCTCCCTGTGATGACTTCCGCACTGCACCTAAGGCTGGGATTTTGTGCTGCTGCTGGGGCAGTGGGGACAGGGCAGGGGCAGGGATGGTGCTTTGGATGCTGGCTCTGACTATTTCTCCTCCTTTGTTGACCTGAATTCAGATCGGCCTTGGACATGTCCAACAAAACAGGTGGGAAACGATCTGCAACCATCAACAACGACATATCCAACCACAACATGGTGTCTGAGGTTCCTCCAGAGCGACCCAACATCCGGGTAAGGCCAGTGGCTCCCTACCTGCTTCTGCAAACTCTCAGGCAGGAGATGCTTTCAGTTTAGAGGATGTCAGGAAAATCTTTGCTTGCCCAGCACATACATAGACTCCAATGGGCAGGCAAGGTGGTCCAGGAACCCAAAGCAGAGTGGAAAGGAAGAAAGCTCAGACAGGTACCTTATAGAAGAGGAGGCACCACACAGGAGGAGATGGGGTTCCGTATCTTGCCCTACTAATCCTTTAAAGGGAATAACACTTTGTGGGTGGGGCTTTCCAGGAGCAGCATCCTGAATTCTGCCCAATAGATACCAATGGTCCTCTCCTGTTGTCAGGACCAAAAATGTCTGCAGATGTTGTCAGTGTCCTCTGGGGACAAAGTCTCCCATTTTCCTAAGAGCCACTGACCTAAGGGCACAGCAAAAGAACCTCCCATGAAAGATGAATTTATGGGGGTGGGGGTTGACGTGGGAGGAGGAGGAAAGAAGGGTCTGGGAAGATGAAGTCATCTGAGAGAAGGGAGTGGTGCGTGTCCTTTGGGCTTAGTGACAATGTGGAACTTAGAGACTTGAGAAGCAGTTTGAGACTCTTGATGAGCACAAAAGATTGAGAGGGGATGGGAGAGGAGATTTAGAAAGCGCAAACAGGGGAACCACTAAGTGAGCAGCCACAGACCACCGTGTGTTCATGCAGGGATGCACTCTCTAAGAACCAAGTGTATGTTTCTCTGTGTGTCCTAGCAAGGGTGTGTTGAAAACACAATTGTGCATGTTGCAGAATCTGAAAAAAAATATGTTACTTATGTAAAACGTACAAAGAGGAAGACCAGGTCTGTGTATTTATAGACATATCTGCTGCAGGAGTGTGTAACCATGGACAGGAGACCGATTTTGGGTCAGTGGCTGCCCTTAGGGAAGAGAAAGGTAACAATACTGAGCCTCAAAGGGAGGCTTAGCTCTACTTGCCTTTTCTTATTAGGGAAAAAAACAACAGAAAGGAGTAATTGTCGTCACAATGTTCCCTGCTTTTCTGAAACACTTGAAATGGTTAGGAAAGGTGTTTCTAATTTTTGTGTGCGAGAGGAAATTGTGTATGGGTGTCCATAAAACAGTGGGAGGATGCTATGTCTGTGGACCTTAGAGATGCCAGCTGCCTTCATGTGCTTTTTCAACCTACCTTTCCTTTCTTCCTTTCTCCCTTTTCTTCTTTTCTTTCTTCCTTTCTTTCTTTTCTTTTCTCCTTTCCTTCCTTCCTTCCTTCCTTTCTTCCCTTCTTTCTTTCTTTCTTTCTTTCTTTCTTTCTTTCTTTCTTTCTTTCTTTCTTTCTTTCTTTCCTGTTTGTTTGTTTGTTTTTTTTTGAGACAGGGTTTCTCTGTGTAGCCCTGACTTTCCTGGAACTTACTTTGTAGACCAGGCTGGCATTGAACTCACAGAGATCTCCCTGCCTCTGCCTCCCAAGTGCTGGGACTTAAAGGCATGTGCCACCACACTCAGCTCAAACCTTATTTTTAAAGTGAGGGTAGGTCTTTCATTGAACCTGGAATTCATTGAAGCCCCAGGGACTTTGCTGCCCCTTCCTCTCTAATGCTGAGATTACAGGCTCACCTTGCAGCACCTACCTTTGTAAAAAAAATTATTTTTGTTAATTATATGTTTATAAGTGTATGTATGTGTGTGCATGCGCACGTATGAGGGGGATGTCCCCAGGAAAGTTATTTAGTCTAGGGGAGGCTGTGCTGGGTGGGCTTCAGAGGATAAATCTGGAGTTTGTGCAAGAGAGAGGGTGTCCTTACCCCTGAAGAACCACAATGAACAGAAGTTTGGGAAGATGAGGAAGAGACAGAGACGGGACTTCTGTGCTAAAGCAGCAGAACATGGATCACAGACCCAGCCAGATATTAGAGACCTGGTCTTCAGTGCTGTGTGGAAAATTTTCAGTTCTCCTACATGATGACCATTACTGAGAAGACTAAATGTATTTAGCGGGGTTCAAACGTGTGTGCATGTGGATCTGTGTGTGTGTGTGTGTGTGTGTGTGTGTGTGTGTGTCTGTGTGTGTATGATGAGGAGCCTCAGGAAAGATGTTAGTATTGCCCATTGTTTTTAGGTTGGCCTGGGCCTGAAAAGAGCCTCAATTAAATCAATGACATTGTAAGAGCCATTCCAGAAAGGGCGTGTGTGTGTGTGCTTGTGCATATGCATGTGCGCGCGAACGCGCAGGCCATCTCTTAGTTACTTTTTCATTGCCATGATAATACCTGACAGAAATAAAGTAATGAAGTAAAGATGTATTTGGCTCACAGTTTGGGAGGGTCTCGTCTGTCATGCTGGGAAAAGCAGACTGAGTGACAGGATGCACGGCAGAGGCCGCTCACATCATGCAATCCAAGAAGCAGAGCAAAGGGCAGGACTGAGGACTGAGGCCAGGTATATCCTTCAAAGCCCACCTCTTCAGGGTTCCACAGACTTTCAGAAGACTGGGAACTCCACCAATAGAGGACCAAGTGTTCAAAATAATATGCCTTTAGGGGATATTTCACATTCAAACGGTAACAGGGAGGTTTTGGAATCTAGGGAGGAAAAAGGATGAGGCTCTTCTCAATAGCTTAACCCAGAAGAGAAAGAGCGTTCAAGGCTAGCCTATTCTACAAAGAGAGTTCCAGGACAGCCAGGAATACACAGGGAAACCCTGTCTCTCACAACCAAAAAGGGCATTGTCAAAAGTGGTGAGATTTCCGTGGTGATCACATGTCTTATGGTGAAGAGGGTGACTGATACCCAAATCCTTAGACTAAACAAAACAACAAACAAACAACCCACACCAATCTGCTTCAGGAGCATTAAGGAGAAGGGTTAGGCTGAGCAGTCTGCAGAGTGCTCAAGGAAGGCAGATTGTTGTTGCCAGACACAGGAGGAGTGACATGTCCATGTGGCAGTGAAGAGCCAGAGGACACTGCTCGCCCTCCGAGCTCTCTGGTGTGAGACAGGAACAGGACGCAGAGTGGATGATACAGGAAGGTAACAGTCATGTCCATGCCAGAAGCTTGTGCAAGAGGTAGCATTAAGGAGAGCAGGGGGAAGAGAGGAAAGAGGCAACAGAGGCCTGCTGGGGGCTGCCAAACCCGATGACATGAGTTTGATCCCCGGAACCCACACGGTGGAAGGCGAGAACACACTAAGGACTGCAGATCATTCTCAGGCTTCCACACCCTCTCCATGGCATGCATGCCACCCCCCAAAGTAAATAAATGGAAAAACGACATCAGAAGAGTAAACTCGGAAATCTTTTATTTCCTCCCCCGCCCCCATCAAAGGAAAAGAAACTGCACAACAACTAATACATTGAGACCCATGTTTGAGATCAGAAGTTCCAAAGAAGGAAAAGGCCACGCCTTTGAGAGACTCAAAGCTTCATAGCCAGGGCACCAGGGACCCACTGGACAGATTTGCCCATTAGCAAGGACAGAGCTGTAAGGAGAGGAGGGGAGTTCGGTTAACTGCTGTCTTTGCCTCCCCAGGCGACTCGAACTTCCCGAAAAGCCATTGCCTTTGGTAAACGCGCACACTCCATGAAGCGGAACCCCAATGCGCCTGTCACCAAGGCGGGCTGGCTCTTCAAGCAGGTGAGCCCACCCTGCCTTGTTGCCTACAATGACCACCACTTTCTACATAGCAGTGTGAGCTGTGTACTCACGGCGGCCCGTGCGGTCTTTGGTATATCTCCCTGTTGTCTGTGCATGTCTCCCAGTTGTATAAAGGCTCTCAGAAAATGAAAACCTCCCCAGTCTGCGCCGCTCAGGAGGCAGAGGCAAGGCAGATATCCGAGTTTGAGGCCAACCTGGTCTAGAGAGTTAGGACAGCCAGAGCTACACAGAAAAACACTATCTGGAGAAAAAAGAAAGAAAGAAGAAGAAAAAAAAATCCTCCCCAGAGTTAACTAGTGTCAAATTTGGAGCTCCAAGATGAGGCTCCCGATGGGCAGAAGCAATGACTCTGAAATCCACCATGTCACTGATCGCATCAGAGCAACACAGGGCACATTCTCTGCACATCTCCTTGCTATATGGACATGGGGTGGCTCTAATCCTGGGATTTACCAACCTTTCCCTGGCTGGCCACTGCTGTATCCTCATCTGCTGTTGTACTCACTCATTCTGGGGTACCTTATGCCCCCTTTACCTTCCCCAGGGGAGACTCAGAGCATCAGGATGAGAGAGCCTGAAAGTCACAGGCAATAATCTAATGTCAGTTCCCAGCATCTGAGATCTCAAGGGAGCTGGCTGCCACGTGCTAGCAGCGGTGCTGCAGCTAGAGCCGGGATGTCCTTGTAACTAGCGCAGAGCTCTTGGACTGCGGCTGCCTTCCCTTCCACACCCTCTCATGGACTTCCCATCTGTCTGTCTGTGTGTCCTGCAGGCCAGCTCCGGGGTGAAGCAGTGGAATAAGCGTTGGTTTGTCCTTGTGGATCGCTGCCTCTTTTACTACAAAGGTGAGTTTGTCCCCCTCCCCCCGGCACTGCCAGGGCAGGGGAAGCCAGGGACCGTTCTGTCTCATCCCATCTTGCTGTCCAGTTCTGCTTTGGAAGGTCATTGGCCGGTGGGTCTCTCCAGGCAGGTTCTTAGCAGTAGGAGGCTGTGGCAATGGGTTGTCAGCCCAGTGTCAGAGCCATTCATGCACTCACTCAGTTCCTAGCCGTCCATACTTATTCGGCAGGCACTAGTTCTGGATCCCAACTGATGATACGGTAGGTGAACAGGGCAAACATTTGGATAGTGAGATTCCTGGGTAAGGAGAAAAGGAGGAGGAGGAAGAGGAGGTCACCAGTGACTGCTCATAAGTCACCTCCTAGTAGAGGCTGGTGTTGATTTCCCCTCTGCCCAGCAGAATAGGCAAGCTGATCCAGAATATAAGAATGTTTATGTCGTTTTCTTTACTGTGAAGTCCACAGCACCAAAAGCTGTGTAGCAGGGAGGATGTTCAGGCAACGCTGGCCTCTACCCTCTCTGTCACCCCTATATTCACGTGAGGCTCCCCTGCCCCAACATAAGGGCAAAGATCTGATGAACTGTGTCGCAGCCTCCTCTAGGAAGTTATTCTAAAGTGTTCACAGCAACATGTGTCAGCGGAAGCACAGATGACCCAAGCAGGGCTAATGGCAATAATGGTGACATCATGTCAGGCTGCTGCAATGGGAGGGGGTGGGCACAGGTGATGTCTAAGCAAGAGAGTGCTTCACTTATCTACAGCGAGGAAATGAGGTAGCACTGGTTTCCTCCAGCCTCCTGGGAGCAGTGTGGTGAATCATTAACTCTGACAAACAGTAGTTGTGCTTGCTCACCCTCTGCTCTGGAACTGCTTGCTCTTCCTGAATCGTAGCTGAGCAGAGGCTATTGTTACAGGGACAGGGGCAGAGGAAACGTCCAAAACTAAGGAATAAAACATTTCCTTGCCCTAGAACTAGGGTGTGATAAGACTGAGGGAGGAGTCAGGATCCCTGAAGAGAAATCCAGAGCATACCAAAGGGTGCTCGTGAAGTCACTGAGGGATGGTCTCAGGATATCCGTATTCATCAATTTTCTGTCGCTGGGTAATTGATAAAGAAGAGAGGTTTGTTTTGACCTTTGGGTCTGGAGGCTAGAGGTTTGAGAGCTTGGCACCAGCATCTGCTTAGCTGGGGACATCTGTGCAGCGTTGGCATATGTCAGAAAGTAAGAGGACAAGAGGAGCACGTGAACAAACAGAACAGCCTCACTTTGCAGCACCCTGCTGTGGTGGAGTAGCCCACTCTGAGATGGGCATGTCAACTGGGCACACCTTTTATCCCAGTACTTGGGAAGCAGAGGCAGGAGGGTCTCTGGGTGCTGCTGTTGCGACTGTCCTGCTCACCAATACAAGCAGACAGAATGGGGGTGGAGGAAGCTGGCTTGGAGTTAGGCTTCCTGCATCTTAAGATTGATCCACTTTTTCTGGTTAAGGAACCCGGATCAATCAACCTGTCAGTTCACCATGGGGGAATAGGAGAGCCTCTTCATGGGACATTTAGGAGTGTTGGATCTAGTAAGGCATTGAATAGGCCTTACATAAAGTGAACACTCTGTGTCTGAAAAGCCATAGGGGATATGGACTATTTCGTTGATATTTATTTTAGTAAGGTTGAAGAGCTCTTTGCCCTTCTTCTGCATCAGGATCCCTCGTGTGTGCGTGCGTGTGTGCGTGCGTGCGTGTGTGTATGTGTGAGGGTACACACACTTTTGTACCCCTTTTCCCCGACAGATGAGAAGCAGGAGAGCATCCTGGGCAGCATCCCTCTGTTGAGCTTCCGGGTGGCAGCTGTGCAGCCCTCAGACAACATCAGCCGGAAGCACACATTTAAGGTCAGCTGGGCTTCCTCTTTCAGGTGGGAAAAGGAGGGCGTCTGCTCTTCTAGAATGTGGGGCTGGAGCCGAGTTAAGTACATGTCCCTTAGGACGCCCCTGTGTGGTGGCCCAGAAGGGAGCAGGTAGTGGCCCTTCAACTCATCAGGGTGACTGGGAGGCAGTGCTGGGGTTCCCTCTTCTTCTCTCAGGGGCCTGGTGGGTGTGTGGCACAGGTGGGCCAATAGCTGTGTCTCTGTGATGCCACGATTTCACCGGGAAGAAAATTGTGTCCTGAGCCTTTTGGACCTTTTGCCCAGCAGCTTGCCCCTCTTCTGAGCTGAGCTCTGGTGGATGAGGTTCCAAGGTCTTTTCTAAATAGGTTTCCTTTCTATTTTGAGCCTAGGGATATGCAGGTAACCTCCCTCTGTCAAACTTACTCAAATTTTAATCTTTAGAGAATATTACGAGTTAAATTTTGTTTTAATCTTGAGTTATGAATCTTATGGAGATAGCATTACCCCAAGTCCTATGGAGTTGGGGATGGAAGCCAGGGCCTTGTGGATGCTGAGCAAGTATCCTGCCCTGAGATGCACCCCTGGCCATGTACACAACAGTTAGAGAGAACACGTGCACAGAAAAATGGGACTCTCCTCCTGTTCAGTGTCACTCCCTCAGAACCCCTCGGGGACCTATTCAGCAAAGCTGTGCCTGCAGCTGGCTCCTCCTAGGCCAGTATTTTTCCACATTTAAAAATTCATGACCCATTAAAAACTATAAAAATCCCATGCCCTTTGTGTTTTGTGATGCAGAGTACCCTAGGCTGTTTTTCAAAATGTAAAATAATAATATCGATTCTGCATGCCTTAGAATAAAGTCCCCTCCTCCAGTTGAGAATTGTTGTCCGAAGCCCTTAAAGCGTAACACTGTGGCATTAAAGACAGAACAGAAACTACAGATCACACCAGGTTGGTGTCTGAGCTTCCAGGGCTCTTTCTGTCCTTCAGATTCTGGTGAAAGAGGTGGACACTGTACACAGGCCTGCCAGGGAAAGAGGAGGGGACACATTTGGCATATAATTAGTTTTCCATCCTCTAAGGGGTTGGTGTGCCAGAGGTGTGAATAGAAGGAACAGTTAATACAACTCTGACTCCGGGGAGCTGGGTTCTAGCTGGGGAAATAGAAACAGGGTGCTTAACCAACAAATGGTCCCGATCCACAGACACGTTCCCACCCACACACGTCCACAGTCCATCTCGCCCTTCCTATCACACCTGTGAGACTACGCACTCCAGCCTGGAGCTGTGCCAGCTGCAGGCATCAGATAAATGTCCTAGAGTGACTGATACACACCCTGCTTCGGAGCCTAGCGAGAGATCACTCCGGTGCCTACCAGACCCACACACCCTCCTCTTTGCCCTGAGTCGTGCACTGCCTCTTTAAGGCCCCCACGTGATAGCTGTGCTCAGTGGCCTACAAAGGGTTCTGACTGGTGCTATTCAGTGTCTCATCCCCAGGGAAAGGAGGGGAGCTGAGACAGACAGACATCAGGCTTGTCCTGTTGTGGCCACCAAGCACAAGTCTTGGATGGCAAATAATGAGGAGCCAGGAACTGTCCCTGCCTGGCTACAGCTGAATGCCTTAGCTTCTCCTAGCCACACCCTCAAGTCCCCAGCTCCTTTCTTATTAGAAGCTGCTGCCCCTCCCTGCAACTCCATCAATAGCCCTGTCTTTTCCCAGGCCCTCTCTGCCTTCTCCTGTCACAAGCATTTGGTCCTGGGGCTGTTTGCTCCTTGTCCCTTGTGGCATGTTTTGTCCCCAGTGTGACTAAGCTCTAGTGTAGCTTCTATCTTCCTTGTCACTGCCCCCCACCCCACCCCACCCCCTGGCCAGCAAGCTGGGTACACAGGTTGCTCACAGAGTGCTCATGAAATGAACAGATTGATTTGCTGATTCCCACCTGCCCCACCACACATCACCAGTCTTGTCTCTGTCTCCCACGACACCATGCTAACCCTGTGTTCTTGTCCCAGAGGGCTTTCCTGGGCCCTGGGCACTGCTATTCAGTCTCAGGTCCCAGCAGCCTCCTTGCCCTCTTTACAGCTCCATCAGCACAGCCCCTCTCCTCAGCGGCTCTGCCTCCTGCTGGACCCTCTGCTGAAGGGCAGGGTCCAGCCCAAGGGCGGAAGCCTGGGGTGCAGTCCCCCAAACTCCACACTAAGAAAGAGTGAAATGCATGTGGGACACAGGGAAGGGAGTCTCCTAAGATTGGTCCAGGAAACTCTGGGAGGATGAGGGCATGACTTGGCTGTTCAGGAGAGCCCTGACTTTAGCCAGAGGGGCCTGGCCTTTTTCTTCAACTCCCATCAACTTATGGGTTAGCACCCAAGGGAGCCAAGGCTGGGATGAGACTGCTAATCACATCTGGAGGCCCCCCTCGTTAGGTGGTGTAAATTTTAATTACCTTTTTTTTTAAGAGTTGAGGGGGTCACCAGAGGAGTATGCTAAGGTCCTAGAAAGAATCTGGCAAGTCCCTCTCCCCTGTCATCCTTCAGTGGGTGTATCATTTTAAGCTGGAAGTAATGCTGGAGCTCCCTGACTCACTGCCCACCGCAGCCCCAGTTTTCCCGTAGTGCAAGCCCTCCGTGCCCTATCCCTTGTCAGGCTGAGCTGGGCACTGCTGGGTGCTGTCCTTCTGGATGTTGACACTAACTACATAATACCCATCTTGTGCTCCTCACTGTCTGGTCTGTCTCTTCCTCTGGTGTCGGTTGGCTTGTCTCTGCCTCTCCTTCTGGCGGTATGAGGACCCCCTCCTCTGGACAGGAGCTCTCTTCTGGGTTCCAGCCCGCTGTGCCTGCTCACAGCCGTCAACTAGGTAGTGTTCTGACTGTTTGCTAGTGTGTGCCCTGCATGCCATGGATAGGGGCTCAGGTGTTTTCCTCTTGAGGAAGGGATAGGGCCAGCTTCTCAGTAGTTAAGCTGGGTTTGGGATTGTCCTGTTTAGGGGACCAGCTCCTCCAGCCCTGTGGTAATTTTCATACCACTAAGGTGGAATCGAAGGGGAGAGAGGGTGTGGTAATTGTCCTTCTTGCTTACAGCCGCTTCAGGCGGGGGAGGTAGGCTTGCTTTCCTGGTTACTGGGCTTTTAGGTAGCATTCAGAGACCTCTCATGCCAGGTACATGGGAGGCAGCTGCGATCCACCCTCCTTCCTAGCTCCTTAGTTCCTCTGGGGAGAAGCTGAGTGCTGAGAACAGCCTGACTGACTGCCCCTTCTGTGGGTGTCCTTTCCCTCCAGGTGACTGTTTACTGGGTAGATGAGGCTGGGGCCAGTTCCACGCACTGCCTCTCCCCACAGGCGGAGCACGCTGGAGTCCGCACCTACTTCTTCAGTGCCGAGAGCCCTGAGGAGCAGGAGGCCTGGATCCAGGCCATGGGCGAGGCTGCTCGGGTACAGATCCCTCCAGCCCAGAAGTCAGTGCCTCAGCCTGCGCGGCACAGGTGAGTACCCGGCGTGGAAGTGACGCAAGGGGAGAGAAGGATGTTCAAAAGTTCCCAGCTTTATGCCATCGCCAGGCCCATTCTGTGGATTTGAACCTCTGGAGGATCACATCACTCACCTAAGCGGGAGGTCTGGCCAGCAGGTTGCAGAGCTTGGACCTCACTGAAGTCCAGTTCTTCCTCCTCTTTCTGAGCTGGGGGAGCCTGCAGAGAATTCCTGAAAGCTTGGCTGGGAGCCAAAGGTGAGGGTCACTTACTAGCTGTCCCAGGCTGTTTGCGGCAAATACTTTGGAGGAAAATGGAATCAGGTGTGAATCACAGGTTAGTCACTTGGCCATACTGTGACCCCAGAGTGAGTGACTTAATCTTTCAGCATCTGATTTTTCTCTTCTCAAATCTATTGGTTGGATTTATCCTGGAAGGGGACTGCAGATTGTGTGTGAAGTCCTGAAAACACAACACACTGCTCCCAGTGCCCATCACCTGCCGGCTCAGTGCCCAACTCTCCTTCCTGTGTGGAGCCCTGAGTTAAGTGAGTGGGGATCTGGAAGCGAGGGCCTCAGGTCTGGCCTGAGTGTACAAAGGGTCACACTTCAGGTCTGACTACACATAGTGTCTCATCAAGGAGGCTTGACAGGAAGCTCCAAGGAGGAGTTGTCTCAAGGGCCCATTTCTGTGCATTGCTAAACCTTTATTCACCCATTTCCCAGATCTGCCAGGAAGGAAACAGACTGCGCAAGTCTGTGCTTCTACTGCTGTGATAAACACTGACCCAAAGCGATTCCAGGGAAGTCAGGGCAGCAACTCAAGGCATGGGCCTGGAGGCAGGAACTGAAGCACGTGCCGTGGAGAAACGCTGCTCACTGGCTTGTTCCCCTGCCTTATTCAGCCTGCTTTCTTACATACCCCTGGGGTGGCACTGTCCATGGCGAGCTGGTCCTTCCCATATCCTCAACCAAGAAAACACTGAGCCAACATTCCTACAGACCAGTGTTATGGAGGAATCTTTTTAGTCTAGATTCCCTCTTCTCAAATATCTCTAGTTTATGTCAGGTTGACAAACAGTAAACAAACAAAAATAACCAAGACATAGATCCTATGCCAGGTCCTGGGAGTACGAGGGAAGAAACCTGCTGTGTTCCAGCGCTTATGGAGCCCACATTCTAACGAAGTTACCCCCAAAAGGGCGTGCTTTGGAAGGGGGAACTTCGTGTTTACCTGCTTGGACTCAGCGACTTGTCCCCCTGCTGCCAACCATGGTGTATCTCATAGCAGCCCCTCCCCCTCCCCCAGGACAGGTGGTAGCCTGTCCATTCTGCCAGTGAAGAATCCCCAAGATGCAGGGCAGACCTGTAGCCTGTCTCTGTGCTAAGTACAGTTATTATTGTGAAACTGGGTTACATGCCAACCTAGTCTGGAGGGCTGGATTGGAGACGGATAACAGAGAAGACCAAAATGAGGAGAGGTTAGCCGTGGCCACAGCCAAGGGCTGGGCTCTGTATCTTGGCAGAAATGAGAGTGATTTGGGTAACAGGCCTGGAAGGCAGAGCAAGTGTAGTGTTCATGGTTGAGTTTATCTGATCATTGCCCAGCAATAAAGTGAAGCCTGGGATTTAGGAAGCAACATTGGGTGTCATGCTGCCCTAGTTACTTCTCTTCCTCTCTGTCTCTTCTTCACTCCTCCTAACCCACTTACCCCTGCCTCACACCGCTGGGCCAGTACCACTGACAGCCTCTGCCTTGCCCTCCTGCAGCCTTGAGAAGCCGGACTCAGAGAACATCCCACCCAGCAAACACCATCAGCAGCCACCTCTCAACAATCTCGCCAAGCCAGAGCCCGAGGCCAAGACTCGAGGGGAGGGGGATGGCAGAGGCTGCGAGAAGGCCGAGCGAAGGCCCGAGAGGCCTGAAGTCAAGAAAGAGCCTTTGGTAAAAGCCAATGGCCTCCCATCTGGACCTGAGACAGCTTCAGAGCCTGGCAGCCCTTACCCGGATGGCCCGAGGGTCCCAGGAGGTGGAGAGCAACCTGCTCAGCCCAATGGCTGGCAGTATAGCTCCCCAAGCCGACCAGGGAGCACGGCTTTCCCACCTCACGATGGGGACGCTGGGGGACACCGGCGGAGCTTTCCACCACGTACTGACCCTGACAAAATTGCCCAGCGCAAAAGCTCTATGAACCAGCTTCAGCAGTGGGTGAACCTGCGCCGAGGGGTGCCCCCACCCGAAGACCTTCGGAGGTGAGGTAGCCTGGGGGGCAGTATGTTAGAGCTAGGGCTCGGGAAGGGGGAGCAGTTTATGAGACCTTGCTTTATTGGGAACCTTCTGGAAGCTACCTGTGCAGGAAAGCTGATTCTCAGCTTGTCCAAATCCTTGCCTCTGATTGTCAAAAGAAAGCACAGATCCGGGCGTGGCAGCACATTCTTGTACTCTCAGCACTTGGGAGGCAGAGGTGGGAAGATCAGGAGTTCTGAGGTTATCCTCTGCTACAAAGTTGGAGGTCTCATATAGCCTGTGCTCCTGTATGTCTCATACAGAAAGAGAGAGAGAGAGAGACAGACAGACAGAGACAGAGACAGAGACAAGAGAGGCATACAGAAAGAGAGAGAAAGAGAGAGACAGAGACAGAGACAGAGACAAGAGAGGCATACAGAAAGAGAGAGAGAGAGAGAGACAGAGACAGAGACAGAGACAAGAGAGGAGAGGCAGCGAGTGTACCTAGGATGTTCAGTAGGCAGGAGTCAGGCATCCCTAAAGCTGTTCTGGTTAACCCCCCACCCCATGCTGCAGATCCTGTGACATCTGAATCCAGTTCTTCTGTTCACTGAGAGCCAAACGACTTACACCATTTTAAGGAAACAAGGCACCTTACCCTTCCTATTGTTCCTTGATGACCAGTTTGCCCCATAGATAAATATACAGATTTATCTGAAGACTGGCTTTCAAATGTTTGGCAGGACTTACTGGACTTGATAGTGTTTGTCAGGACAAATGAGCTTAAGATGTAGGGACCCCTGGAGATTGTGGGTACAGCCTCAGGAGGGAGCCTCATTGTTGGTGATGGGGTCCTTGGGTATTTGTAAGTCCCAGGGGCCTCCTGGCTCTGATATCCTATGACTAGAAAGCCACTATCATCCTTTAGGTGCATGGTACGCTTGGGTACGTTTCTTCTACCTCCTGTTTTGGAAAGGGCCCAGTAAATCTGTTCACACTCAGATGTAGATGGCAAAAAAGGCCTAGAGCTGTCTTCCGGGACATTTCATTTTAAAGAGACACAGTTTGAACTCTGAATGGTGCAGTTTTCAAAGATGGGACTTGTTCTCACTTCTAGGATAAGCCTAGATCCTGCTTGGGCAGTGCCTTCCCATGCACTCTGGCTGGATGCCCTGGGGCTCCAGTCACTTTTGCTGGGCTGGAGGGCTGGGAGGGTGGGGGTAACTGGTGTGCACAGGTGGGTAGATACATGTCCATGTTGTCTGCCTTCCTTATAATGGCCCTTCTTTCTTTTGCAGTCCTTCAAGGTTCTACCCTATGCCCCGCCGGGTCCCTGAATATTACAGCCCCTACTCTTCCCAGTACCCTGACGATTACCAGTACTACCCACCAGGGGTGCGGCCAGACAGCATCTGCTCCATGCCAGCCTATGATAGGATTAGTCCACCCTGGGCCCTGGAGGACAAGCGGCACTCCTTCCGGAATGGGGGTGGACCCACTTACCAGCTTCATGAATGGAAGGAGTCCACCAGTTACGGGCGGCAGGATGGCACCGTCTGGATCCCCAGCCCCTCCCGACAGCCAGTCTATTATGATGAGCTGGATGCCGCCTCGGGCTCCCTGCGCCGCCTGTCCTTGCAGCCCCGTTCCCACTCTGTGCCCCGCTCGCCCAGCCAGGGCTCCTACAGCCGTGCCCGCATCTACTCCCCAGTACGCTCACCTAGTGCCCGTTTTGATCGGCTGCCACCCCGCAGTGAGGATATTTATGCAGACCCTGCAGCCTATGTGATGAGGCGATCCATCAGCTCCCCGAAGGTGAGCCACCATTCCACCCTTTCCCCATCAGCCCCTGAGACCATCTGCTAAGAAGAGCTGGAGATGCTGGCCTATCTGGGATATGGCCTGCCAGGCCAGGAATCTGCCTGGCCTGTGGTACCCACCCTAAGGGGTTGCCTTGGGGGTTGTTCTGAGCTCTAAGCAGGAACCATGCTCTCTGTGCCTCTTCCCAGGTTCTACTGAAAATTGTGCAGTGTCTTAAGAGGACAGAGAAGGTCTGTCTTCCGACCTTGAGGACTCAGATAGATTGTTGTGAACGGGGTTGCAATGCATCTCAGTTTGAACTCTGCTCTGGGACAGAATACAGGCGCCCTTAACCTTGAACTTTAGTTGGTGGGGAAGTCCACATCCCAGCCGTATTCTCTCACCTCTGCAATCCCCTTTCTCTTCCAGTATGATTACCTGGGAGACAGGCGGCCAGTCCCTGCAGGACTGTTCCCCTACAACTACCCACCATCCCCCACGGTCCACGATAAGATGGTACGTCCTCTCCTCCCTTCCACGCCACCTCAGGACCTCCTCTCCTGCATCCACCCAAGGTGGAGCTGAGCTGGGGCAGGTGCCAGAGATGCTCTGGACACAGTGCCTAGTCCACGTACTTTTAGAAGTCTCTGGTTGCCTATTCCTTTCCCACTAGGCCTCAAGGGCCCCAGGACAGGGCTTGGGGCCACTTGCCCCTTCTCCTCTGTAGCACAGAGGAGTGTGTGCTCTCCTGCCCCTCAGTCCCTCAGACGCTTAGAGCAGCTCTTCTCACCAGCACACAAGAGGAGGGGCCAGGGCTAGCTAGGAGCATGAACTGGATACAGTCAGGCTAGGACTCCCAGGCTAGAGCATGTGGACTTTCACCCTTGGTGATGCCTTTGTTTGAATGCCACCCGCGGGGAAAGGGACAGGGGTCCTAAGAGGAAGAAAGGGTGTGTGCCACATTGCGTTTCTCCCCTTTCTACTGTTTCTACTTCTAAATGTGTTCCTCTGAGGAATGAATTGGGGACTAAAGAACCTCTGTCCCATACCCAGCGTGGGAGGCCAGGGTGGAGGAGGCTGGGTGGATGTGAGGGTGGCCACTGTCGCACTGGTTCTCTCTCTACTGTTCAGACTCCAAAGCCTTGGCCCACAGCAAATGCACCTTTCCAGAGACATCCTGTTTTCATAGAACAATTGGAAACACTTCTCCTCAGATTTGCAGGGTGGGACAGAGGGAGAGAATGTCCCTCTTCCTTTCTCCACCCGCCTTCGGTCTTGTCCCCTTCTACCTCAGAACCACTTAAAGGACATGACAGAGACTTTTTTTTTGGTCCATGCCTAGCTAACTCTTAACTACTCTGCTTCTTCTTTTTTTTTTCCTATCGTTTTCTTTTGTGTGTTCCTGTTTGTTTGTGTTGCTGGTTGGCCCTTTGGCCCCGGGCTCCGGGTAGGATGAACTTTTAGATCTTCAGTTGCAAAGAAACCTAGAGTATTTGGACCAGCAGGTAGGCAGAGCTGGTGCCCCCTCGCCATCCCATACCCCTGTCCTGTCTCCTCCTCCCTGTCCCTAGCATCCTCCAGCCATTTGACAACCTTTGTTGACGTCACCAGGATCCAACAAAGTGGCTCGTGTTTTGCTTTGCCCTCTCATCTCCTCTCCCTCTGAATCCCTCATGGGCAGCTGCGGTTGTCCTCAGGAAAGAAGTGTTTAAATGGCATGTGAATCATTAACTACCACTGTCTACATTCTTCAGTGTTCAGCCCACGTGGAACTGCCTTCAGAGGCAGGTGGGAAGAGAGTAGAGACAAGGGTTGGGCCTGAGATGTCAGGAGTTTAGTTAAGCCTGGATCTGGGAACCCATATCCTGTTCTACTGGTCATTGTTAAGTTCTACAGTTATAAACTGAGGTCTTTGATTTGTCCTAGAATGGTTTAGAAAGTGTTTCATAAATTTGTTAGTTCCTCAACAAAACTCTTTTGCATACACAGCTCATGGTCCTTAGAGTTCAGTGTGGTTGTCGGAGGCACAGTAATATCAGCTCAGTAAACTGACCAGGCAACGAACACCCCAGTGAGACACACGTTGCTGGCTGCGTCATGCTTACTCCACACTTTTTTTCTTTGCTCCTTTGCCTTTTAACTCCAAAGAGGGCCATCTAAAACCACTTGGTCTAGACAGGCTGCCAGTGAACCCATACACTAGTAGATGTGTGCTACAACCGACAGGGAATCCAGGAGTCCGTGTCATTGTCCCTGGAAGGCAGCCTGCAGCGGTAGAGATAGATGATTGTAGTGATAATATTAAGAATAACTAAGGTGGTGGTGCATGCTTTTAATCTCAACACTCATGAGGGAGCGGCAACTGGATCTCTGTAACTTTGAAGTTTCAGGCCAAGAAAAGTTCTGTGGTGAAATCATGTCTCGATAATAGTCATAGTGGTGTTAGTAATAACAGAACAATGATAATAATAATAGCAGCCACTAACTATAATTGGTGTTTCCTCCATGACTTTGACTGAATAGAAGAGCTCACAATTCTTTTCATTTTTGTAATAATTCTACAGGATGGGAACTGTGATTATCCTATTTTATATAAAGGAAACAAGCACAGAGAGATTTTAAAAGCATGCTAAGGACACAATCAGTGATGAGCCGAGCTTGTAGTGGGACTCTGAGAGGAGACAGGGCTAGGATCAAATCTCATCAGGACAAGTTCATACTGATAAATCTCCAGGCAGAAACGTGGCCTCGAAATGACTATATTCACTGCTATGACTCTATGTTCTTCCAGTACCAGTCATGTGACCTGTCATCTCCCATGGCTTCCCTGTTGTGGTGAGATCATCTTTGTAAAAGGCTTTAGGCAGTGGGAAGCACTGATGGCCAGAGTTTAGTCAGCAGGGCCAGCTCTTGGCCCTCACGGAGCTTTCAAATCTCTTCTAAAAGCAAGGTATTATATCCATGCCAGAGGCATTCGGGGCCGTGTGGTGATTCGTCCGGGGATTCCCTCCCCCAAGCATGGCTGGGAAGTGCTATGTCCTCCAAGGGGAAAGCAAGATCTACGATGCCTTGAAGTGAGGAGGACTCAGAGTGCCACCACTGGTCTCCCAAGCATACTGTCCTGCTTGTAGCATTGTGCTGACTTTGCCCTGCCTACAATGGCTGACTGTTCAATCATTTAGCACAGAGTGGCTTTTGCCCTTCCAGAGGGGATGGACTGCTAGGGTCTTCAGAACTCAACTCTGGATTACCTTCCTGCCCATGGGATAATATTCTTATAGGCAATCCTGTATGGTGCGAGGCCCGACACAGCCAGGTAGAGCCATGCTGGGCAGCACTGGGGGATGTCACTTGGTCCCCCTGATTCTTTGCTTTCAGACATAGCAGAGCCTGCTCTTCTGCAGAGTAGAGAGAATGAGATTGGAAAGCACACAGGAGCTCTCTGTGGGGCACTGTTACAGCAAACCTCTTAGGGGAAAGAAACGAGGACAGTGGGCGCCCAGGAAGAGTCTGGTCTCCTTTGTCCACTGTGTGCTCACAAACACGTGCACACAGACATGAGCACACACAGCCTCTTTAAGTAGATAGGGACTGGACTGACTTCAGATCTTTAAACTAAATAAGGAGGCTGGCCTATTGGTATTGTAACTCCAATGCTTATCCTTATACTGTAAGCACTCTTGAAGCCTTGACACCAAGGAAAAACCCTAACTGGGCTTCCGGGAACAGAGAAATCGGGTACCAGAAACCCTTTGAAAAGCTACATGTCTAGGGCTGGAAAGACGGTTCCATAGTGAAGAGCACTGGGTGGACCCAGATTTGGTTACCAGCACCCATGTGTCAGCTGACAACCTCCTAGAACTCCAGTTCCAGGGGATCCAGTGCCCTCTCCTGTCCTCTGTGAGCACATGGTACACAGACATACATGCAGGCAAAATGCACATATAGAGTAAAACAAATTTTTTTCTTAAATTAGAATGCTGTAGATAGCGAATGGGAGCATAGGTTGCCTAGCTCCGGCCCCAGCACGGCAGAAACAAAGTTGTATGAGGTGTTGCCTCAATCGGGTGAGAGGAAGAAAAGCCTGGGGAGACCGTGGATAAAATTCTGACTCCAGAAGATCATCTCTAGTTACTTCGTAGCCCCAAAGCTTCCCCTGTACACCTCCCTTCTGTCTTCTCCCTCCTGTCATCTGCTGTGGACCACACAGTTAAAGGGACACAGCCAAGGACATTCCCTGATAGTTTCATTTTCGATCCTCTCCCAGTGGAACCAGTGGACAAGTGAGGGCATAGCTGATTGGTTTGGCTGGCCTTCCCTCCCTCTCTGACTCCCTCCCCCCTTCAGTACATCCCCTTCCACTTTCCCAGTGATCCTTGAAATTAAAAGACTACGTGGCAGAAAGCAGTGTCCGACACCTGGTGTCCCTTTAACATGGCTCACTTGTCTCGGCCTCCCTGTTTGCTTCCCAGTGTCATCCTCGATCCTCATGGATGCTGCCAGCCCAGCTCTGGAGACTGTTTAGTAATCTTTCAGGAGGTGTGGGGGTGGGGGTGGCAGGCAGAGAGGAGGTCCCAGGTTTGCTGTGTTAGCTCAGTTTAGTGTCAGTTTGAGGAGACTGGCTTTTCCACCATGTGGTCTTCATCCAAAGCAGTGTGAGGAATGGGAAGGAGGGGACAGCTTGGCCACTGTGACCGCGCAGCCCTGGGACAGAGTCCCTGAGCCTTGCAGGGTCTCTTCCGTGCCTTCAGTGAGGGTCCAGTGGCCTCCTAGCACCTTGCCGTGACATTTGCATGGGAACATCAGTACTGGTCCTGAAACAGTTCACAGGGTGAAAAATGACCAAGGGCAGGGTGCTGGAGGCCCCCAAAGCAGCTGCCCCTCCCCTGTTTCCTGCAGACAGCCACAGGGGGGTGTGGGGAGACGCCGCCGCAGCCAGGGCTGAGTGAATCTTGCGTTCCTTCCTCCAATGCAGATGAGCGAGAGTGAGACTCTCATCAGCATGGTGAACCGAATGGTGGAGAACTCCTCCCCCAGGGCCCACCTCTTCATGCAAGTAAGGCCTCTGCCTGCCAGCATGGTCCCTGTCAATGCCATCTCAGCTGCTTGTGCATGGTTGGGCCACCCCATGTGGGATGAAGCCCGCTTCACCCAATCCATTCATCCGCCAGGCCTCGCGTCCCCTAAAGCAGATTCTGCCTGATCTCCTCCCCAGCTCCACCATGCCACCTCCATTCTTCATGTCCATAGATAAAGTCAAGGTGCATTTCCTGACCCATCAAACAGCAAACATGACATCTCATGCACGCTGAGGATGACAAACCTGCTTTTGAATGCCCAGGATGCCCAGTTCATGTTTTCTATGTTCTTGACCGATATTACTGGGGCTGGGGCATGAGGGGAGGATGTCAAGGGTTTGTAAACATGTAGGATAGCTGCTGCGTTGTCAAGGCAAGGCAGCACGAGCTACCCTCACCCCGCCATGCCTTTGGAATCTTGCCAGTTCTGGCTTAGTATGGGCGCAACGATTGGTGTGTTCAGTTTACGGGGACAGCGGTTCTCCAGGTTTCTGATGCTCTTTCCTGCCAAGCTCTCATGTACTGTCTCTACAAACTGCTCAGGGGTCACTGGTGTTCTCGTGATTGTCACCATCAGAGAGCTCTGCCTTCCAGCAGGCCTCCAATGGGGGACAGAGGACATAGGTCATGTGGTCAACCTCTCCCGAATCAACCATAGACAATCAGGATAAAATCTAGACCGCACCATCATAGCTTTCCCAGCCAGAGGACCTAGAATTGTCTTGAGTCCCTGGCACAGACGCGTCAGGCGTGACGGGCAGTAGTCTCTGGCAGAAAGGAAGCGGGATTGTGATGTCAGCTCTGCCACTCACCCAGCCTCATCTGCCCCTGCTGCAGTAACCGACCTCGTGTTCCTCCAGGTCCCTGCATATCCAGAGGTGTTCCGGGATGGCCTCCACACCTTCAAGCTAAACGAGCAAGATACGGATGTAAGAGCAGCTCTCCCTGCTCCCTCTGACACGACGTGCTCCTCATGTTGTCCTCCTCATCCTCGCTTTCCCCTATGGGGCTTTTCCTTCATCCTCCTCCCTCTCCTGGTGGCGTTTCATCCATTTGACTCACCTCCTCTCATCAGGACCACAACAGTGTTCCACCCGCTTCCTCCTCCTCCTTCGGCTTTTCCTTTTGGACTTGGCCCTACCTCACCCTTGCCTCTCACTCTGCTTCAGGCTTCTATAGCAATGCTGTGAGCCCCTATCTGCAGCAGTGGGATCGGCTTAGGGCAAAGACGTAGGCTCTGTTAGATGGTAAATCAGTCTGTTCTGTGCCCAGCCTGTGACAGACACTGCACACTGCTAGAGAGAATATGGTCTGTGTCTGCCTTCAGAGCATCAAGCAGTGGGATACTCCAGGTGGCATCGGATGGCCATATCAGATCCATTCACTGAACAGGACCAATGAGTGGGTCAAGGACTAAATAGGTAGCCAAAGAGAAAGTCCTTGAAATGAGAAGTCTCAAAGGGCAAGATGCAGCCTGGTAGAAAGAAGACGGAAGGGAAGACATGAGTTAGAGATGAGGATGTAGAGAACTCTCTAGAAGAGAGCAGGCTCTGCCCATGGCCTCCACATCACCACTGAACCTGCTTCAGCAGTGGATCCATACTGAGAGGCTGGGGTGGGGGTGGGGTCTCTCCAGGCAAGGGCCAAAGCTAAGAGGCTCCCATCAGCCATCCTGAGACCTTACAGCAGATTCATAACCTTCCTAATGCTGCACCCTTTAATACAGGTTCTCTCATGTTGTGGTGAGCCCTGACCATAAGATTATTTCATGAGTACTTCATAACTATGATTTTGTCTGTTATGAATTGTAGCATAAATATCCCATATATAGGATATCTGATGTGTGATCCCAAGAGGTGTTGCCTTAGAAAAAGTAAGAGCTCAGGAGTCTCAGGATAAGAGAGACTGGGGTGCCCTGTGGGGCTGAGGGGCTGCTTCACATCACATTGCTTATTTTAAGACTGCTTGTTCCCAAACCTTGCCTGACCCCAACCCTAGCTGAGGAGGTGAGGTTGTCTTCTCTGTCCTCTGGGCTCTGTTGCCCCATAGTAGGATAGGAATGCGTTTGACTCTCCCACCCCTACTCAGAGAATTACCACATCTCATTTCCTAAGATGGAGAGATCCACCATGCTCTTTCCCAGAGCCTCCAAGGTGACGGTGAAGGCCCAGGTTCCTTGGCTGGGCAAAGTGGCAGAATCCAGAGGCCAAGCCCTGCCAACCCAGTTCCCAAGTCCCCATCAAACCACATCTTTCATCTTCTTCTTTCTCCCCTCTGGGTCCCCAGAAGCTGCTGGGCAAGCTGTGTGAGCAGAACAAGGTAGTGAGGGAACAGGAGCGGCTGGTGCAGCAGTTGCGGGCGGAGAAGGTGAGCGTCTGGGGTGTTTTGTGGGTGGGGCTGGCGTGGGCATGGTGTGTGATGCTGTCTCTGTCCTTACAAAGCTGTCTCCCTCAGACTTCTTGTCTCCTGGGACAGTAGCCAGTATGGGGATAACCTCTGCTAAATTATCTGATTGAACTACCAGGGGCTTAGGCATCTGCTGTCAAACAGCCTACAGAAGGTCACGGGGGCAGCTCATGACATCTCTCATCTCTCTTTAGGAGAGCCTAGAAAGTGCCTTGATGGGAACTCACCAGGAGCTGGAGATGTTCGGAAGCCAGCCCGCCTACCCAGAGAAGCTGCTGCACAAAAAGGAATCTCTGCAAAACCAGCTCATCAACATCCGAGTGGAGCTGTCACAGGCGACCACGGTAATTGGGGAGCAGAGGCTGTGGCTGTTGACTTTCCCTTTGTGCTGCTCTGACCTGGATATCTTCTAAGACCTCAGAAGCAGAGCACTGCAAGGGCACCCCTGCTGCAGAGGGCATGCACAGGCAGCAAGTTTGCCTTCCTGTTCATCCCGAAGCATCTCCACCCAGAGAGCGGGCTCATCACCCACAGGCTGCATTTGTCCCAGGACTCTTCTGGGACAGTGTGTATCTGAGGGTTACTGAATTCTTTGGTTGATCTAACACATCTGCTGCCCACTTTGCCCTCTGCCTTGTAGAAGTAGGCTCTGGCTGGCTTGCTGCTGCCAGCTGAGGAGCTAAGGCAGATCCTTCGTTCAACACAGCTTGTTTGAGTAACAGTAGCCCAGGGAAGCACAGGCCAGGAGAGAAGGGTGATCTCTACAGGAACAAATTCAGCTTTTCCTTCAGCCCGCCATGGGATGTGCCCTGGCCGTTCTAGGAAGGCGCGTCGGTGGTAGCTTCCCTCAGAATGCCTCAGCCTGTTCTCTTCCTGCCAGACTTTGGACCCCAGGGATCCCAACCCCAGACCCCTTTGCAGCAGTAGAAGGGAGAACTTGTTGAAGGCGGCTTCCTCTGTATATTAGTTGTTTTTCTCACTGCACTGCTGTGACAAAATGCTTGGCAAATGAAACACCAAGGAGGAAGGGTTTATTTTGACTTACGGTTTGAAGGAATACAGCCCATCACTGTGGGGACGGTATGGTGGGCAGGGGCACAAGGCATCTGCTCAGTTGCATCTACGTTCCGGAAGCAGAGACTGTGGTGCTCACCTCAACCACGCCCTTTGTATTCATCCTGGGCCCAAGCCTGCATGATGGTGCCACCACACCTTCCTCCTCACTTAGCCCTTCCTGGAAACACCTTCACAGACACACCCAGACAGGTGTCAAGTGATGGGATGAACCCTCACACTCCATAACCCTCTCCCCTGCAGGCACTGACCAACAGTACGGTGGTGTATGAGAGCCTTGAGTCTGAGGTCTCTGCCCTGCATGATGACCTCTGGGAACAGCTCAACTTGGACATCCAGGTGAAAGGGGGTCCCAAGAGAGAGGGGTGGGATACGCTCTGCATCTTCTCTAGCCTATGTGGCAAAGAAGAACAAAGCAGCTGTCTTTCTTGATTTAACCATTTCAATATAAGACAAGGATCTGGTCTTGAGACAATCAGACAGACAGACACACAGAGACAGAGACAGACAGAGGAAAAAGATAGACAGAAGCAGGGAGAGATGGGGCGAGGAGAGAGACGGAAGAAAAGGGAGAAAGACTCGGGCCACTTTAGACTACTTTTAGCTTTATGACAACATGAGAATATTCTTCTCACCTCACAGGGGATGGAGCTAATGAGGTAGGAGACCTAGGTTAGAAGCAGGATATTCTATTGCTGAAAAGATTTAAAAACAGCTATGTGGATATAAATACCTCTCCAGACACTGGAGAAGCTGGCAGTACAGGAGCCATCTATGCAGTTTTAAAAGCAACCAGGCTTCCTTTCTGGGCCTAGGGACGAAGCAGGAGGTTTGAAGCAGGATGAATACTGGAGACTTCTGTTTGATTTTATTTTTCCCTTGTCTTTCCTCTGACGGAGCCCCGCCTCTTCTCCAGCTGATTTTGCAAACTCTGGTCCTTGGATATGGTTAGCACACTGTTTCCCTCCTGATAACAAAAAATTTACCTCCCCTGCCTCGGGCTGGGCAGAGTGATGAGGCCCAGATACTGATATATCCCATGGGTCAGCTACGCCTTAAGTGGACCTATTGTAGGAAGGGTGATGGCCATGGGCAAGCGCACCAGCTTCTGAATCAAAAAAACCATCCTTAGACACTGGCAGTGCAGCTCAGTGGGTGGCCCAGAACAGTCTCTTTTCTGCCTCTCGTAGCTTGGTGAGGAGTCCTGCAGCCAAGATGAGTTAGTTAGTACACCCAGAGCATTCGGAGCGGTGCCTGGTACTAAGACACAGAATAAGTGGCAGCTGTTAAATTTCAGAATGTGAGCTATCTGTGAGAGAATGTAGCTCATGTCTAAGCTGTTGGAATGTAAAAATTAAAAAAAAAAAAAAAAGAAAAAGCACTGGAAATCTTCCCCATGGAGAACAGAACATGTCTCCTGTTCCCCATGGCAGTTAAGTAGGGGCTCCTCACTCTTGCTTCTTGGCTTTTCTGTGGACACATTTTATATTAGAGAGGCTGAGACTTCCCATTAGAAAGATAGCTACCCTGGAGGGAGATGTGCAGGCGAGAACATGGGGTTCCGAAGCCTCCTGATCAGGGAGTCTAGGCTTAGGGCAGGGCTGGCCCATCCTTGATTCACTCTGCGGCTGTTTCAGAATGAGGTGCTCAGTCGGCAAATCCAGAAGGAGATCTGGAGGATCCAGGATGTGATGGAAGGGCTGAGGAAAAATAACCCATCACGGGGCACCGACACGGCCAAGCACAGAGGTAGGCACCTCCAGCATGCCTGCACCCCTGCCACCCACACTAAAGGACCCATGGGTGACTTTAGAGCTAACCTGGAGCCCAGGTCTTCAGGTTGGCTCTCTGTGACATGTCAGAGGTGGCAGTGTCAGCTCTGTTTGCTCTCTTCACTGCCTAGGGGCCCTCTTAGCAACCAGCCTATGACCCTAATCCATGGAGGGGCCTCCTCTCCCTCCTCCACCACTTGCATCTGTGTGTATGCCGAGCCGTTTCTTCCTCTTTACCCCTCTCTTCTGTTTCTCCAGGAGGACTTGGGCCCTCAGCCACCTACAGCTCCAACAGCCCAGCCAGCCCTCTCAGCTCTGCCAGCCTTACCAGTCCCCTGAGCCCCTTTTCAATGGTGTCTGGCTCTCAGGGCTCTCCCACTAAGCCAGGATCCAGTGAGGTAAGCTGGGGAAACAGTACAAGAAAGATGGGGGCCAAGAAGACCAGGTCTTCATCACCAGAAAGGACACACAGTCTGCTATCTCTTCCCCGGGGTCCCATCCTAGAGTTTGGTTCATGACATCTACAAATCATTCTCACACTGGTTTTCCCTCGGGGTTTCTCCTGCACCCACTCCCATCTCCACCTGTCCTCTTTAGCTGCCACACAAGGAAGACTTCCTGAACCCCAAGATGGTTAGCAAAGATTCCCCATACTTGATGGAAATTTAAGCCAGGAGTGTCCCAAGGGGATGGATGAGGATCAGTGTAGGGAGCTGTTTGTTAGTCAGTCAGTGCTCATGAGATGGAATGAAGCCCTCTAACAGGCACCCAGGCAGGCCCTGGGGCCCTTTGTTTAGTGAGACAGCATCTAACAAGGACCAATTCATAGTAGGTTGCAACCTACAGGAGACATCAGTTATATCTCAGCAATGAGTCACATGGTTCAGACTCTGGTACTCCAAAGGAAGACAGGGTAGAACTTAATGGGGCCCCGGTGCGTCTGGCTAGTGTGAGGCCAAATGGAGTGCAGGCAAGAGAGACAGAGGCAAAGGTACAGAATGGGGAAGTCCTAGCATGCTGGGGATGTATGAGGGAGCTCTGGACTACTGGAGAGTGGTATATAGAAGGGTGGGCAGGAGGGACTCTGTGAGGAGGGTCTACAGGTCAGGCAGAAGTCTGCCTGTGGAACTGGGGCTCTGCCAGGCCAGGGGTGGGGTGCAGTGCCCAGTCCTGGGGCACGTTCCATTGGATAAGTATCTGGCTCCTGCTAACTCTTTCTTCTGCTCTCACAGTGGCTGCTCTTCTTCCTCCTAATGCTCTGGCTTCTCTCTGCCTCAGGAACCTGGCCCACCTCGGCCACCCCTCCCCAAAGCCTACGTCCCCCTGGAATCTCCTCCCACCGTCCCTCCACTCCCCAATGAGAGCCGCTTCTGGCCATACCCCAACTCCCCTTCCTGGCATCGCAGTGGCGAGACAGCCAAGGGTCAGGTACCCAGCATCCTTGGGTTTGGGAGGGCGGGACGGTACAGTATGGGACAAAGACCCAGGCAGGGGGGCAGGGTAGAGCACTGGGGTTGTTTTCCCAGTCATTCCCACAGAGCTCTATTCCTTCTGGGCTCTGGGGGAAAAGTCTCACAGCCAGCTTCCCTCTTGTTCTCTGGGGACAGTGGGAAAATGAATTACAATCCTACCCAACCCTGACTCATGAGTGTCTGACAGTCATGGGTTCAGATCCCTACCAACATGATTAAACCAAAGGAAATGGAGTGACACCTTCCCCAGTCCCTGCTGTCCCTTGCCCACCGCAGACTCCAGTCTTCTGTTCTTGTTCTGCCTCTGGCTTGATCTCACTGGGTCTCATGGTCTCTAGTATAAGGCCTGAATCTGTTCTGGCTTCTCGCCTGGGTCCTTAGTCAGGACAGAGTGTACAATTAGACTTGGTTGTTATTGAGAGACCCATGTTCTAGCCAGGCTTGGCTCTATGTGGTTTGTGTAGCTGACCCCTTGCCTGTGAGACAGGCAGAATAGTTGGCATTGCATGTAGCTGCTACACCATGAAGTGGACAAGACTTACCTAGTACCCAGGCTTCCAGCTAGGTGATTGCTGAGGTTTCAGGCTCTTGTTTTATTCTTATTTTCCTGAATTTTCTTAGACTCTCTGACAGTACAATAGGGAGAGGTTGCTCATAGTATGTCTGAGGCCTCATGTCTCTGTAAACCCACAAACACCTTTTTCACTTCCTCAGAATCCTGGAATTAAGGACAACCTGATTCTTTTTTGTTGCCCACTCTGGTGACTCCTCCTATGATGTAAAGTCCACAGACCATCTGTGCTTCTTTGGGCTTTCTAAGTTACCCGGGTTGGGCAGAGACCTCGCTGAGTCATTCTTAGAAGCTAGCACCTGCACAATTTCCCTGCTCTCTCGATCTTAAAGGATTTGAAGGAAGGCATTAAGGAAGCCAAATCTCCAGTATTCACCCTAACACTAGCCATCCTCTCACCCCTTCTTCCCAGACCAAAACAGGCTATGAGCCAATCAAGAAAGACCCTGGCCAGACATCACCCCTGGATACTCCCAGAGACATCAGCCTGGTACCCACCAGACAAGAGGTGGAGGCAGAGAAGCAGGCAGCTCTCAACAAAGGTATGCTTCCACCCATACTTGCCTAAGTAAGGCTAAGACACTTCCTCATGCTGGAGGAGTGTGCTCACCTACCCTAGGCTTCAGTGGGGAGAGCAACCAGCCTCTCTTCTCGAGAAGCAGGTGCCCTGGCCTTGCTTCCCACAAGGCTTCTCACTGGCTAATCTGTCTCCCTGTAGTTGGCATTGTGCCCCCACGGACAAAATCTCCTGCCGAGGACGAGATGACCCCGTCAGCAGTGGTGAGGAGGACCACGAGTGGACTCACCAACGGCCTCTCCTCACGGGTAAGTGTCCACTCCAGGCTCTGAGGGCTTGTACCCAGTGCTCATGACCCAGAACTAGGGAGGAAGGTAGAACACGTGGGAGGGAGAACGGTCCTTCGTGGACACGTCAAGGGTCAAGGAATATGAGTGTTGAAAATGCATGAGAGTGTTTAACATTGTCATAGCATGCTGTTGGCAGGATGGAGCTGGGAGAACAGAGGTCAGGGTGAAGTACACCCTGTTAGTTCGCTAGGGCTCTGGGGAATTGACACATTACCACACAGATTAGTGGCTTAAAACGACACAGCTTTATACTCCCATTTCAGGGGCCAGAAGTCCAAAGTCAAGGCACCACCCATGTTGGCTCCTTTGGGAATCTGAGAGACTCTATCCCGTGCCTCTCCTGTGAATAGTGGTTCCCAGCAGTGCTTGGTACCCACCGGGCCACATCATCTTCTTGTAATAATACCCCTCTTTGGATTTTGAATCCCTAAATTCATGGTGACCTTAATTACAACTGTAGAAATCTTTTTCCAAAAAGGGACATAGTATCAGGCATGGGGGGGCTGTGGTTTAGACATATCTGTTAGGGTATTCAACAACTATAGTGCCAAATTTCATGCCATTCTACTTGAAAAGTTCTCGTTCTATCCCAAGAACCCCTAAAAATCTCAACTCATGACATAATTAATCTTAATACTAAAATCTCATCTATTAGTAACCCAGACTTACTATCAAGTCCCATAGCTCCAGCCAGGCCTGGTGGCTCTTGCCTAGAACCCCAGGACTCGAGAGGCTGAGGCTGCATAGTGAGTTCAAGGCCAGCCTTGATTGCAGATCAAGACGATATCCTGCCTCAAGAAACAAAGACAAACAGGATTAGAGAGATGGCTCAGCAAGTAAAGGGCTTGCTACAGAAGCTTGAGGACCCGAGTTCAGGCCCCCCAACCCCCATGTAAAAGCCATGCATGAGGCATTTTCTTATAACTCCTCCATTGGGGGTGTGAAGACATCTCCAACAGACTCACTGTCGGCCAGTCTAGCGGAAACAGTGAGCTGCAGGTTCAGTGAGTGTGTCTCAGGAAGTAACTAGGAGCTGCAGAGGGAGACACTTGGAGACCATTTCTAGCCTCTGCCTAGGCACACACAAGTGAGTGTATCCTCACACAAATGTGTGCCCGGTGTACCTCGGTCCCCACATAAAGAAAATAAGTCCCACAACTCGCCCTATGAGTCATATCTAGCAGCTATGCATGGGTCTCTAGATAGTGTTCCTTATGGGGCGGAACTCTCTACACATGGGAACTTGAAAACGAGTTCATCTGCTTCTAAGATACGATGACATGAGATAATCTTTCTTTTGAAAAGCTATTTATTTGTTCATTACGTGTGTGTGGATGCCTCTACATGTGTAGAGGTCAGAGGACAACTCTTAGGGATTGGTTCTCCCCTTCTGCCCTGTTAGACAGGGTCTCCCTTGTTTCTGTGGCTGTACTGTACACTCCAGACTAACTGGCCTGTGACCTTCCAGGTGATTCCTCTGTCTCTGTCTCCCATCTCAAGGTAGCAATGCTAGGATCACAGGTTGGTGTGGGTGTACCCAGCTTTTTATATAGGTTCCAGGGATCGAACTTGGGTCACTGGTCTTGCCCAGCAAGCACTTTCACCCACTAACCTATCTCCCTGGCTCCAAGATAACCCGTCTTGTCCCCAAAGGAGAAATGAGAAGGAATAAAGGGATCTCCAGCCTCAAGCAAGTTTTTCACCTCAGTGCTGGGATCAAACCTCAGAGCCTTGTGCACACTGGCCAAATGCTAAACATCTAAGCCACAGACTCAGGTTCTATGGCCTCACTGTCCTGCCTGTGGGTAGGTGACGGCTCCACCACCCCTTGTTTCCAGACTTTTCTCTCTGGCTTCAAGGTCTATAGCCAAGGCTTTCTCTTGAGGTCAACCTGCCTTTTTCTTGAGGGCATAGCTGACATTTGTAGCTAGGAAGCTCTGTTAGCCAATTTCTGGGATATATCACCCCCTAGAAATCTGATAGCTTTTTTCCTCCACATCTTCATTTTATCTGTAAACTGGCAGTTTGTTCTGAGAGCATTCTCACAAGCGCCTGTGGCTTAGCTTATGGGGCCCCATGTGTTGTGGGGTATCTGTGGAGCTTTCTTGGGTGGCCCATCTCTGTTTCTGGCTCCTGAGATGCTCGATTGAATCATCAGTCATATCTTAGTCTTTTAGCAAGATATCCCTGGTCCTCTTTGTTTGTTTGTTTGTTTGTTTTTGTTTTTGTTTTTGTTTTTGTTTTTCAAGACAGGGTTTCTCTGTGTAGCCGTGGCTGTCCTGGAACTCACTCTGTAGACCAGGCTGGCCTTGAACTCAGAAATCCACCTGCCTCTGCCTCCCAAGTGCTGGGATTAAAGGTGTATGCCACTACTGCCCGGCTTCCCTGGTCCTCTTAAGGGGTGTTCTTCCCCAGCAGTGGGTTGCCAATTTCTTTTTGGTCACGTTTTTCAACATTCTGCTTGGAAACCTTTCAGCTAAATATCCAGGCTGACTACTTAGCTCCAGTTTCCATCCCATAACCAAGCACATTCAGCCAAGCTTATGCCATTTGATGACAAAGAGGCTGGTATCCGATAACATGCCCCTTGCTTCCTTCTGAAACTTCGCTGGAAGTACCCTTAACATCCACTTTTCTCTCTCTCTCTCTCTGTCTCTGTCTCTGTGTGTGTGCGTGTGCGTGTGCGTGTGCGTGTGTGTTGGGGGTATGTGTGATGTGGCAGAGCTGTGTGTGTATGATGTGAGGGGGTATGTGTGTTTTGTGTGTGTGTGTGTGCGCACGTGCGTGTGTGTAAGTATAAGCACACAACACACATACTATAGTGCACATGTAGAACCTAGAGGAGTCAGATATTAGCTTTTGCCTTCCATTTTGTTTGAGACAGAATTTCTTGTTTGGTGTTGTGTAGCCCAGGCTAGCCAGCCCTCAAGTTCCAGAGATTCTCCTGTCTGCCTTCTGTCTCACCACAGGAGCTCTGGGATTGCTTGTATGTGTGGGTTCTGGGGACTCAGACTGAAGACTTCATGTGCCTGCTTTTCCCTGGGCAGTCTTTCTAGCTCCTCTGTCACTGTTGTGCTGGTGATACAGGTTCACTCTGAGATAACAGAAGCTTTCTCTTCTGTTTTTCATTTATTATTTTTATGTTTTTGACAGTGACTCACTATATAGCCCTGGCTTACCTGAATTTGCTGTGCATACCACGCTAACCTAGAACTCACGGAGATCCTCCTGCCTCTGGGTACTGGGCGCTTGGGATTAAAGACATGGCCACCATTCCCAACTTCTCTTCTTTTACCTCCTCTGTGCTTCACCACAGTCATTTCCAAAGTTCCCATTTCTACCAATGAAATCTAAGATTTCTCCCATTATGAACCTCAAAATTATCTCAGCCTCTCCCCACTTCTTGATTCCAAAGTCTCACCCACTATGCTAAGTACTTCTTAGCACTCCGTTTTTTAGTATATCAGTCTTTACAGACTTCCCAAGGCTCCTGAAACAAACTATCATGTGCAATGTAGTTTAGAACTACAGAAATCTGTTCTTCATGTGTATGGAGTCCCACATGAAGGTGCTGGCAGGGTCAGTGCCCGCTGACAGTGCTAAGGGATGCTCTGCCCCAGCCTCCCTTCTATGTGTGGATAGACTTGGCACTTGCTTGCATGTAAATGAATCATTCTAGTCCAGGCCCCCACTGACACATGACCCCCTTTCTGCGCTGTGTTGTCATCTTTCTGTCTTTACAAGAACCGCTGCTATTGGTTCTAAGTCAGCCCTGATTCAGGATGATGTCATGCTTCCAAATAAGATCGTATTTGCAGGCACTGGGGGTCAGAATAAATGCAACGTATCTTTCTGGAACCGTTGTTCAGCCCTCTAGGGACAGGCTGCCCACAGAAGGACTATTTGGAGCACTTGGGGTGATGGGAAAGTCAGTGGGTTGGGGAGCACCTGGCAGAGCCTTGTTTCCCCACTACAGCAAGAGCGCCCCAAGAGTGCTGTGTTCTCTGGAGAGGGGAAGGTGAAGATGAGTGTCGAGGAGCAGATGGACCGGATGAGGCGGCATCAGAGTGGCTCCATGAAGGAAAAGCGGCGGAGCCTACAGCTCCCACCCAGCCCAGCCCCTGAGCCCAGCACCCGGCCTGCCTACAAAGTGGTAATGTCCTCCCAGCCGTCCAGAGGCCCAGGTCCTGCTCTCCGTCCACACAGCTGCCTTCAGCCCATGGGCAGCCTGGGCCAGGGAGCTTGAAGAGAGAGAAGACTGAGGGCCACCTAGCAGGGCTCCTGAGATAGCCTACAGCTACTAGTGCTTCAGCCTGTGTTTCCTCTTTATGCTTGGCGAAAGTAATGCCAAATGAATGCTGACTGTGTTTGCTGAAGTGAAGTATCCAGAGTCACTCATTTAGTGTTAAGAGCACTTGCTGCTCTCGCAGAGGACTCTTGGCACTCACATCAGATGGTTCATGACTGCCTGTAACTCTAGCTGCAGCAGAGCCAGCGCTCTCTTCTGGCCTCAGCAGGCACCCACATACACATACTTTATGATCATGTGCTCATACACACACGCACACATACACACACATACACACACACATACACACACACATACTTTATGATCATGTGCTCATACACACACGCACACATACACACACATACACACATACACACATATGCATACACACACATACACACACATACACAACACACATACACACACATACACACACACATACATATACTTTATGTTCATGTGCTCATACACACACATACACACACATACATACACACACGTGTACACACACACACACATATATATTTACATACACACGTACACACACATATACACACATATACACATGCACACATACACACACACTCACACACACACACATGCACACATACACACACACACACATAAAAAGGAAAAATTAGGTAGAAAATAGTGCAAAATCCACCATGTGGAAAAGAGTCATCACTTTTCTGTGACTCTGACATGTCTTCTGTGTGTTGAACATTGGCCTGGGTCCCCTGAGGACAGCCATGGCAGCTCCTGGGTCCCCTGAGGACAGCCATGGCAGCTCCTGGGTCCCCTGAGGACAGCCATGGCAGCTCCTGGGTCCCCTGAAGACAGCCATGGCAGCTTCCCGAGCAGTGCTGTTGATGGAATATATCCATATTCCTTCACTTAACCCCATCAGTGATGGCAATGATTTCAAATGTATTATCCATTTTACAGCTAGGCAAGTAGAGTCAGGAGAAAACAGGAGCTTTCTGGGCCACACCGCTGTAAGAACAGAGGTGGGTGGAGCCATGGTGCCTTTAACTTCTCATTATAGTAGGTTTCAGAAATAGAGAAGAAACATGATGTGAATCTTACCTTCATCAGTTTTGCTTAAGTCGACAGGTCAGACCTTCCATAGCATGAAACTATCAGAAACCAACGTGGGTCACACGGCTTCCACTGCCCATGTGTGCAGTACAGGGTGTGAGCACTGCCAGGAGACACTGATGAGATCCTGCCCCTGGGCCTTGCTGTAGGCAGGTGTGGGGAAGCAGAGGGAAAGGAAATGGCTCTCAGTGCGGGCTGTGGGAGCCTGATCGGGGATGCTGGTCAGGGGCACGGAGACAGGAATAGTGAGAACTGCCTGGAGGGAGACGTGGGTAGAAGTGATTTGGTCATGACGGTGCTGTCCCCCAGGTGCGCCGTCACCGCAGCATCCACGAAGTGGACATCTCCAACCTGGAGGCAGCCCTGAGGGCCGAGGAGCCTGGTGGTCAGGCATATGAGACACCCCGGGAGGAGATCGCTAGGCTTCGCAAAATGGAGCTGGAGCCTCAGCACTACGATGTGGATATCAGTAAGGAGGTGAGTGGATCCGGAAGGGGCTGCGGCAGGGGGATGGCCTGGGAGGGGATGTAGGTGGTGACCGCAGGCTCTCCACAGCTCTCCACTCCAGACAAAGTCCTCATCCCCGAACGGTACATTGACCTGGAACCTGTCACTCCCTTGAGCCCGGAGGAGTTGAAGGAGAAGCAGAAGAAGGTGGAAAGGATCAAGACGCTCATTGCCAAATCCAGGTAATAGGCCTAGGAGAGCCAGCTACTCCACTGCCCTCCCTGTACCCAGGTTCCTTGGGCACCAGATGTCTTGGAGGCCCCTTGCCTCCCCAGGGTAGAGAAAATGGAAGCAGTGGCCAGAAGCAGCAGACTATACCCAGACATCTGACAGAAATGAGGATGCTGGTCTGGGCCCTAGAAAGACCTGCTGGGCTTGTGCACAAACCAGAGGGGGGCCTCTGCTCATCCTCCTTCCCTTCAAGGCTGCCCCACATGTTCACTTGAGCCTTTGAAAATTCATTTGAGAGCATTGAGGGTAGGGGTCCCAACAGTCTTGCCAGGGTCTCCCTCGCTCCTAGGGACAGCCTTGCTGGGCACCAGAGGCTGCATACTCAAAGGCCCTGGTCCTCCCCACCAACCTCAGCGCAGGCCACCCCAAGCCAATTGGACCATGCTGTCCCTCCCTCCATGTCTGTGTGTCTGTGCCTCTTCAGTATGCAGAACGTGGTGCCCATCGGCGAGGGGGACTCTGTGGACGTGCCCCAGGACTCAGAGAGCCAGCTGCAGGAGCAGGAGAAGCGGATTGAAATCTCCTGTGCCCTGGCGACCGAGGCCTCCCGCAGGGGCCGCATGCTGTCTGGTGAGAGGGGCTGGGCCTCGCTCCGCCAGGGACATCAGCTGACCAGGTGTAGGGGAGGAAGTGCAGTAGTGCCAGGGGGGCAGGCTCAGGAGAGATGCCAGGACAAGGAGACGTTCTCAGGGTCAGTGTTCTCTAGGCATTGGGTTTATGCTAGGCTCAGTATGAAGGGGCCAGAGTGGCTAACCTTGAGGGGCTCAGCTGTCATCGATGTTCACAGCCACTTTATAGAGGACTGGTCAGAGGCTGCAGGGAACTCGGGGCCATCTGCCCCTGGACAGTCACAGAGAAGAGAAGGCAATAGCACTTCCTTAGGAAGTATAAGCATGCTTACCAACCATGGGTGAGAGGACTAGGTGTTTAGGCTTCCTTTTGCTTTTCTTCCTTGCTCCAAACAAAAGAAAAAAACCTGACAAGGCAGTCAAGGACTTGAGAGCCATTCTGTCTCCATCTTGGCTGCTGACCCAACTTAACTTTCCTAAGAGGAGACTTGCTAGGAGGAGGTGAAGTCACTGGATTGAAGGCTAGAGTAGCATCCTGGAGGAGGGGAATGTGACCAGGCTTTCAATGAAGGGGAGTCTATATGAATGGGAGGGGAAGGTAAGCCAGTGGTTAGCTCATCCACACACAGTAGGATCGTCTTATTTTGTTTCGTTTTTGAGACAGCCTGGTCTGGAACCCTAGATCTTTCTACTTAGGCTTCTGAGTGCTGGGATCATTGCTGCACACCACAAAGTGTGAACTTCAGTGGCCACAGTTAGGAAGAGTGATAGGAAATCGGCCGTGGCTTAAGGTGACCAGTGGAAGTGAGAAACCAGGTTACAGGCCACGGTAGTCCTGACAAGGCAGGAGCAAGCAAAGATGAAATCAGGAGGGAAGGTGCTCCAAGCCTCCATTTCCTCACTGGTAAAATTCAGAACACCTGCCTTCAGTTCAGATGATGCAAGGGTCAATGACGCAATGGCGGTGCTGCTGTGCAGGGTAGTAAGAGCTGAAGTTGAAACGAGACTCCTCTGTGCTGTTTCTAACTTGATGTATGTATGTTACAACCAGAGGGCCGTCAGTCACAGCAAAAGAAGGTATCAGTTCAACCTGGAGAGAGAACCTCTGTGGATTAGGGAGTAATGAACTTCAGGATGGAGGGCTGGGGAGGCCCTGGAGGTGGCAGGTACTCCAGTGTCAGACAAACAGGTGCTGACAGCTTTGAGGGACCATCTCCTTTCCTGCAGCTGCGGCAGCAGAGCCGGTTTCGCTTCAGACAGGGAGGCTATCCGTGACCTCTCCCGACTTTTCAAAAGTAACTTGAACCTGAATTGATCTTGAGTCAAATTCCACATGCTTTGGGCAAAATGTACTTCCTATTTCAAGAGGGTAGCACATGCAATGCTTAAAAACTCCCCCCTCCGCCCCCGCCCTGCCACGGATATGGCTTTCTGCATTGTTACCCAACAGTCCAGGGTTCATGGAAACAAGTTTCTGGGCCTATCCGATTTCCCCTGACAACACATGGGCTTACATTTCAGGGTCTGTGTGCTGAAAGCAAATGGTCATTGTGCTTTTGCCAAAACCTCCAACAATTCAAAAAATGGCTACGAGAGGGCCAGACCTCAGACCTAGCCTGCTGTCCCGCTATGCTTGGCCCATGGCCCGGAGGCCCTAGAGCAAGCACTAGTCCTGGGCACATGGGTATGGACTAGCAGTGTGGGCGTAGGTTCATACCCAGGACATTGGGAGGGAGAGTGGCTGGGCATAGGTCCCAAGAGCAGCAGGCTTGGCATGGGTGTGTGTGTGTGTGTGTGTGTGTGTGTGTGTGAGACAGACAACCTAATCAGTGAGGAGTGCTCTGTTTGTAAGTCTGCCTAGCAGCTGTGTGACGATTCAGTGTGTACCATATGAGACAATGCAGCGTTTCTGAGTCTGTGTACCTGGCACAGATGTCATGTATCTGGTAATGTTTGCAGATGTGTATCTGTATGTATTTAGATGATCTGTGTGTGGGTGAAAGGAATGTTTGAGGGGAAATGTAGGGATGTGTGTGTGTGTGTGTGTGTGTGTGTGTGCACGTGCGCATGCGCGCACTCGTATGTAGGTGGCGGGAACATCTATGAATGTGCATATTTATGTGTGACTGGCTTTTCATGTGTCAGGAATGCTGAGGTCTATCCTGAGTGTTGTGCACAGAGTACACTCTGTAGCACCTGTAAACATGTCTGCGCACAAGGGGGTGGTGGATGCACTCATACATGTGTGTGGCTGCGCACGCATGCAGATGTACATGCTTTGTACTGCCACATCTGTCCAACATGTACTTACTACACACTTGTACTTAGCGTGTTTTAGTGCGTATAGTCAACATATATTTCACATGTCTGTTTCCTTAAAGAGATGATATTCACGTAGCTGTCTGTCCTGTCCTCAGTTAATACTGTCAGTATCCCTAAGCTCCTGACTTGTGTTGATGGCACGAGCTCAGGAGCTGTCATCCCTCTGTGTGACTCTCTCTGTATCTAAGTGTGGTCCCCTTCTGCTCACATGTCATCTTCACTTTTTATAAAGGGGCTCTCTTCATTTGTGCCTTCTTAGAGCTATGTGGGGCTTTTCAGTCCCCCCTCTCTTTTCCAGCCCCAGCTTTCTATTTCCAATGGGGGGGGGGTGTCAGAACACCAACAGGCCAGCGCCTGTCAGAACTGTGGATAACAGTGACCAGATCCACAGAACTCTATCAATCCTAGGTAGATGTTAGAACATCTTAGCTGCCCAGGGAGCCTCCTTGCTTTCTTATAGGGGTTTTTGACTGTCTTAGAATCTGAACATGACCCGTGAGTAGCACTTCTTCGGTGATATGTACATGACTGTGTTGGGAAGCATTTGTGAGTGATTTTGCCTATGAGGTGACAGATATGTTGGATCACATGGAAGTACTGGGGCTTGAAAGTGCACAAATGCTTATTTGAGTTGTGTAAGATGAGTGTAACCATGTGGTGCTGTCAGATCCTGGGCACAAGTGGTATTATGTGAAGGAGACCAGAGCTCACGACCACTAGAGCAACCTGGGCTATGCACACACTGGGGATGTGCCCGTAGGAACACCAAGAGCCCATAGCAACAGCAGGAGCCACACAGGCCCTGTGTTGCACAGAGCTAAGAGAAAGTAGTAATGCCCATACCAGGGTAGGAAGCAAGGATTTGGAAGATTAAGGCTGCATCTTGGAAATGCGGTGTGACTCCTGGCCGAGGTCTGGTTCTTCTCCTAGCCCAAGTGAGGACGCTCTCTCTGCCATCTTTCTGCTAAACTGAGGACATGCAAGAGTCTGGTGTCCTTCTAGAAGACTCTCCTGTTACCGTCTTTCCCTTTTGCTGTTCTTCACATGAAATGATAATAAAGTAAAATCACATCAGCTCAAGCTGACTTTCCAAGAATGGCCTGCAGGTTCCCTGCTGGATCAGTCAGAACAGGTTCTCACACGATTGTGGGGAGGTTCCTTCTGAGCCCGTGGTCATGCCAAGACAGAGCTGACTTTATGCTAGTCAGGAAACCGTGTTCTCTGGTGTGATTTTATTGCATTATTAATCATTATCATGGGTGAAGCTGCCATAGATGGTGTGAAGTGGTTGACCCCCCTTCATTCTGTCTGCACAGGGTAGAATAAGCATCTCCCAGTGCGGATGGGAAGGGAGTCTTTATCCCAGAATGGGGTTCAGCCTGGAGTACCATCACACTGCTTCTTAGCGGAGCCTGGGTGTGGCCGGGTCTCCTCAGGGGCCTCACTATCCTCCACTGCACCCTGGGAATTAAGGACAGCTTTGCCTCTGCTTGAGCAAGCTCCCCAGCACACCTCTTCTCTCTCTGCTTGCCTCCCTGCCTTGCTCCCTGCCCAGGGAGCGGCCTCGCTTGCTCTGGGCGCCCAGTCTCCTCCCCTAGCACCCTTTGTCTTCTATTCACTCCCCTGTTCATTTCTGTTTCCAGTGCAATGTGCCACCCCAAGCCCTCCCACCTCCCCTGCTTCCCCGACTCCACCAGTCAACCCCCTATCGTCTGACCGCCCACGGGGCGCCGACAGCAGCCATACCATGCGGGTCTGAGCTCTGACGTAAGCACTTTTCTACTGTATTTCATGCACCCCAGGGAGGGATCCTTCCCCTACCCCACTGAGTCATGATGCCCTCCCATTGCTTCTCCCCATCCTGGTGCCCCGTGCTCAGTGTCCCCTCCATTTGTCCGCTTGAGCCACCAGTGTCTCCAAGCAGTACTGGCTGCAGGTGACTGGCGATGCTGCTTCTTAGATATGCCAATGACTCTGCTTCTTTGCAAGCAGAAGAGAATGGTGCTAATCCCACACCTGTCTGTTGCTCGGGAAGGTACTTCCCTGGCCCCCTACCTCCGTACCTGCCACCCCGTACTTCCGGTCTGCTAATCAGCTTCATTCCCCTGAGATCCACAGCAATCCTGCCACAGAACCCTAAGAAGGCCCCTAGCAGCTGTATCTCCACTCCCAGACATTAATGTAACTGAGGGCAGCTCTAAAGTAGTTTAGCCTTGCTCTTCCCTCCCAGGGCAGCACAGAGCCTTGTGTCTGGAATGGGGTGGGCGAGGGGGGTGGGGACACCCTGACTTCTTACCCTCCTTTCCACTCTTTCCAGGTTAGAGAAGGGACGGCTCCCCAGCTCTTTGCAATGAAGCATCTATTCTCTAGAGAAGCTGGCTGGAGCTTGCCACCCTGGGTTCTCTACTCACCGGCTTTTCTTCTTTCTAGTGCAAGCCCTGGCTGAGGCCAATGCTGTGAAGCTCCACAGAGCCACCTTCTGATAGCATCCACTGCACACCTGGGGCTCTGGCTTCTCATCCTGGCCTCCTGCCCTTGTACCCACCGTGGGGACGCCTCAGAGAGCCAGGCTGGGGACCGGGGCTGCTTCATAAAGGAACATGGATGCCTTCAAGTTCACATCTGCTGCCCTTGCCCTGAAGCCTGCATTGTCGTGTCATGGTTCTAAGGCAAGACCCAGGATGGCAAGGCCAGGATGGCATCCTCTCTGATGCCCCAGTCACGGGGAGCTCAAGTGCAGTTCTGGATGGCATTGTGGGGCCCTCCTGCACCATCCCCCGATGGAGTCCGTGTGCTGGTGGGAGCATGTGCTCAGCTGTTGGGTGAGGGCTGGAAGTGAAGACAAGACAGACTCTCCATCCATCCCTTGGATCCCATACAACACAGCGAGAGGCCAACTCTTGCCATCACCTTCCTCCCGTACAGTCCCAGCTGCCTCAGCGATGCCCAAGGCTTTGGCACAACCCTGCTGATGGATTTCCCAGAGTTCACTGAAGGCCGGCCACCCTGCTTGAGCCAAAGAAGATGATGAGTTATAGGGAGAGGCCCCTGGGCTCCTGGAGGGGTAAGGTGTGTTACAGAGAGATGACAGCAGGTCTGCACAGTGTCTGAGGGCAAGTTGGAAGCAGGAGCAAGATGGAAGAGGAAAGAGGCTTAAGAGAGTGAAGGAAGAGAAGGCCAGATGCTTTTCACGAGCAACAGGGATGCAAAGAAGGAGGGAAATGGGAAGGAAGAGTAGGAATGGCTTCCCTAGTGTGGAGCCTTCGGTTAGTGCCAAGCAGAGGGCCTGTCACCTCTGTACCTTCACGTCTTCCTAAGGGGCAGGAGGCCCCAGGAGGACTTGCACCAGGCACACATCAGCCCTAGCTGAGGTACTTGGTAGCAAGGTATGAGGTAAGAGGGTGTTAGAGTGAGGTAACCTGTGAGATGGTCCTATCTGTGTCAAGGCCTGCAGTCTCTTCCAGAGTTATGGGGAGAGAGACAACTGTCTTATATAAAGTCTCTCAGCCTTGGGGCCTTACCTAGCCAGTTTAAACCTGGAAAGTACAGTGGGCAGGCTGAGGTTTGCCCTGGGAGAAGGAATGAAGATTTAACTGTGAGGCCAGGTCCTTCCTTCTCGTCTCAGGCATCTAGAGCAGGACCAGAGGCTTTCTTCCCCCCCCCCCCCCCCACCTAGCCAGGGAGGACAGGACAGGGAGAGACAGTAGCAGAGAATAGTCTTCCTCTAGTCCAGCTACCGTGCATGAATGTAGCCAGAGGGCATTGAAGGAAGGCTAGTTTCAGACACCAAGCCCCAGGCTGCCCTGCCGTACCTGCTGCTCAGAGACTTCAGCCTGAACATCAGTGGCCCCAAGAAACAACTGCAGCATCTCCCATCAGTCCAGCGCCACTCCATCATGGTCGGGACAGTTGCTGGTTCATATGCAAGTAAAGATGACAATTCATTCAACAAATACTAGCCAAGCACTTTTTTGTGTATTAGGTACTGTTCTAGGTGCTTAGGACACTATCTTGCTTCTGAGGGACTCTGGATCAGGGGGATTCCATCTGTCTTCACCTCTATCAGGCTTCTGAAAAGTGCTTCTTCATGACATCCCCTGTCTGCATAGTTCAAGCACCCCAAATCTGCCCTTTCTTCCTTAAAGACTGGTAGGCGGGATCAGCTCCCAGGTTACCCTCTCTCCCCAAACCTTCTCCCAAAAGAAACAAAATTTTAGGGCTTTCCCCATCTTTGTCTCTCCTTTTTAAGAAAGCGGTATTTTTTAGAAATACACATGAAATACCAAGAAATGTCTTTGCCTCTCCACCACTCACCCACATTTCATAAAGCTGGCTCTTTATGTTGCTATACATGCCTTAATATATGTTTTATGGAAGTGATCATGTCATAGATACCCATGTAATATATATATAAATTTGTCTGGATGTCAACCCTTTCCACAGCTCCTGCCCAGACCCGTTTTTCTGTCGACGTCATTTTTAGCATGTTGAAGCCACACCCCTTGCCTTTTTGATCCAAAGAAGGGAAGAGGAAAGCTTTATTTTAAGACAGACCTATTCTATGCTTTTGTTTAAAAAGCAGATCTATTTTCAAAATGTGCAATGTCTGAAAGGGATTGGTGAAGTGTGAGGAGACCGGGGTGCTGTCCCTGGTCCCAGTCTGTGCCCTTCCCTCTGCCCCAGTGGCTTCCCTCCCATTACCCCATCATCGTAAAGGGCTGGTTCCCAGGTTCACCTGGACTGCATCCTGCAGGAGAAGGACATTCTCTTGAAAGTCCTGGCCTAAGAATTTGACTTCACTGTCAACTTTAGAGAGTGGCCCGAGGGACGTCAAGCATGTGAGGGAAGCATGTCAAGCATCTGAAGGAAATGTTTACAACTGCAGATGTGCAGTCCTCACACGGGCCCCTGGACCACCTCCCATCATCCCTCTGTGAGAAAAGGCCAACGGGTTGCTGGCAGCCATCTTGAAGGATAACAGTTTGCTCTCTGACAGACCCAAGACACAAGGCAAAGCCCAGAGAGAGTGGCTTAGGACCCCCCCCCATGTTCTTTGGTGAATACTATGAGCTTCCTGGGCCTCTCACACTTTCTTCTGAGCCTACTCTGTGTCACACCTATTTCCCTCTAAGACACTTTTTTTCCTCAGAATTATTATGGCACATCGGTCTGGCATCCAGACTTGAAGCCTGGTTCCTGGCAGGGGAGGGCCCCACAGTCAATGTCAAAGCTTAAGTCTTTCCCAAGAAGGAGCCCTCAGTGCTTTGACAGGCTGTGGGCTGGAGTTCTGCCTGTGGCAGCTCAGCTTGCCAAACTTGCTTTCTGACAGGTGATGTGAGCAAGGAGGTTGGGAAGGATAGAGAGACCTCTCCCCAGCTCTGAAATGATGTGTTTGGGAACTTTACAGCACTTCTGGCCAGCTTTTGAAGCCTGACCTCCAACTCTGGCATTTATGGCCCTCTTCCCAGACTGGAGCCTCTTACTGTGAATGAACAGGACCCAGACGTAGGCCGAGGGCTAAGCACCCTTTCTGGGAAAAGTCCTGGCTACCCACACAGGGCCTTCCCAAGGAACACATTACCTCCTCCACCAAAAGCCAGAAGGCTGGGATCAGATACTGCTACTGTCACTTTAAAGATTTTTCTGAGGAAGCAAGCTTGCAAGCAGCAAGTGTGCTCTCTGCCTTTGTGAAAGGCATGTTCTTGGGGCAACGCTACTACTGCAAGATGGATTCCCTCCCTTCCCCATTAGGCACCCTCCTCCTGGCAGCTCTTTAAACTAAGGAAAAATACTATATATAAATATATATATATATATACATATCTATTTATGCACATATTTGGGGCCAATTTGGTTTGCTAGTGTTAGACAATAAACCAAACAAGGAAGTCTATGATCTCAGTGTCTTTATTTAGTATGAAAGTGACCTTAGACAAAGAGTTACGTTTGGAGGAGCAGCATCTCTGTCGGGACCACACTGTGGTAGCATCCCCTGAGCATCTGTCTAGCCGACCACCCTCCCCTGAGAAGGGGCGCCTGGCTGAAGTAGGTGAGATCTTGCTCCCTCCTTTCAGTGGCAATCTTACTAGATTAGATACTGAGCTCTGCGTTTGTATCTTGCAAGTTTGTATAAACCAATACCAGAAATAAAATGAGTGGTTTGTACCTGTGTTGTGTGTGTGTTCCTCGATGCATCCGTGTCTGCCTTTCATTGCCCTCTCCTCAGGCTCCACAGGTCACAGACAGGACAGGAAAGAGGAGCAGGGCTGGGGGTGAGACTAGGCATAATACCTATGACAGCTCTTCTCTGTCACCACCTCAACTGTGCCTCTCAACTTCTATCCAAACCAAGTATTCAGAACTTGAAGTAGAGAGGTTATCTTCAGCCTGGAGCCAGAGGTGGTGGTCACAAATTAAGGTTGCACAGGGGCAGTGTCAGGTGGTACCTTCCTTGGTTTGCCTCTGATGTTGATGGTAGGAACAGAGAAGAAAAACAAGGTCCTAAGCTTTGTCAATTACTACACAGTAATTGACAGCTCTGTGGCTTTTGGGGGGCACGAAGGTGTGTGGGTAAGGGACCAGAAAGACCACCTCGATTCTCACCGAGGCTAAGCCTTTTGACTTCTCTTAGCAGATATTTGCTGAGTGTGAAGGACTCTAAGACCTTCTCCATTGGAAATCTTACTGTGAAGGAAGGCTCTGGAAGCCAAGTAAAGTTGGGCCTGGCACACCCCTGTGATCCCAACACATGGGAGCAGAGGGAGGAGGATTGAAAATTCCAGGCCAACCTGGGTTCCATAAAGAAACTCTGTCTTAAAAACAAACAGGGGCTAGAGAGATGGTTCAGCAGTTAATAGCACTGACTGCTCTCTTCCAGAGGTCCTGAGTTCAATTCCCAGCAACCACATGGTGGCTCACAACCATCTGTAATGGGATCTGATGCCCTCTTCTGGTGTGTCTGAAGACAGCTTCAGTGTACTCATATTAATAAAATAAATAGCAAACTGTTATCTTTAATGTTGTCACACCCTGTCCCCCTTCCTACAGCAAGAGTTGGGATGTTCTTTTTAACATATATTATAGATTGGTCACATCCCCAGGAGAGCTGTGAACCAAGGGCTTTCAGCAGGTAGCACATGCCCATCATAATAGCACTTGGAAAACAGAGGCAGAAGGATCATGAGCTGGAAGTCATGAGGCTGGTATGTTAGTTTGGTTTTTATTGCTGTGAAGTGACACCATGGCCACGGCAGCTCTTAGAAAGGGAAACATTTACTTTGGTGCTGGCTTACAGCTTCAGTGGTTTAGTTCATTACCAGCATGGCAGAAAGCATGGTGGCACACAGGCAGACATGGTACTGGAGGGGTAGCTGAGAGTTCTACATCTTGGTCAGAAAGACAGCAGAGGGAGGCTGTGTGCCACACACCTGTGATCCCAGCACAGAAGTCAGGTCACAGCTTGATGTGACCTCAAAGCCCGCCTCCACAGTGACACACTTCCTCCAACAAGGCCACACCCACTCTAACAAGGCCGCACCTCCTACCACTCCCTATGAGCCAGGCATTGAAACACGTGAGCCCATGGGGGCCATTCCTATTCAAACCTGCACAACTGGTGAGATGACTCAGCAGTTAAAAGCACTTGCTGTTCTTGCAAAGGACCCAAGTTCAGCTTCCAGAACCCACAAGACAGCTCACAACCATCTCTGAGTCCAGTTCAAGAAAATCTGGTGTCCTCTTCTAACCTCTGAGGGTATCAGGCAAGCCTGCAATGCTCCGAATACTCAAAATACACTGAAATAAAAATAAAGCTTCAACAACAATTCAGAACAGGAGTGGAAACTCCACAGTAAAGAGCTGCTTTCCCTGAGGACCTGAGTTAGGTTCCTGGCACACACATCAGGTGGCTCGCAGTGGCCTGTATGTAACTCCTGTGGGGGATTCAGTGCTGTCCTCCAGCCTCTGCAGGCATCATCTGCACGCATGTCCGTGTGCCTGCACACATACACACATATACATGCACACACACAAATACATCTTTTTTTAAAAAAAAAAATCAGGCCGGGCAGAGATGGCTCACTCCTTTAATCCCAGCACTTGGGAGGCAGAGGCAAACGAATTTCTGAGTTTGAGGCCAGCCTTGTCTACAGAGTGAGTTCCAGGACAGCCAAGGCTACACAGAGAAACCCTGTCTCGAAAAACAAAACAAAAACCAAAAAAAATTAAAAACAAAACAAAACAAAATCAGGTTGAAAAGAAGGCACCTGTGCACAGGCTAGCTGGTCACGTTCTAGGCTCTGAGCCTGTCTCACTATCAGCACCCTCATTAGTCCAGAGCCTGTGCTAGTTTCCTGCTGGGAACTATGCAGTCATTAAGTACCACCTAGTACCACTGACTTCACAAACATTAGGTGTCGAATGACCTTTCACAGGGGTCACCTAAAACCTTAGGAAGACCATCTGCATATCAGATTTACATTACGATTCATAGCAGTAGCAAAATTACAGTTATGAAGTAACAATGAAAATGTAATTTTATGGTTGGGATCACCACAACATGAAGACCTGTATTAAGGGGTCACAGCACTAGTTAAGTTGAGAACCACTGGGTCTAGAGGACCCAAGGCTCCAAGTCTAGAGTCTAGACCAGTAATTTTGCTACTGTTATGAATCGTAATGTAAATCTCTGATATGCAAATGGTCTTAGTCGACCCTGTGAAAGTATCAATACACACACACACACATACATACACACACACACACACACACACACACACACACACACCATTGCAAGGGCTTGAAACCCTCAGGTAGAGAACCACTACCCTAGAGTGTCTGGCGTGGTGCAGTGCTGAGGTGCTCCAGGCAGAGAAATCTGGACCCGTGACTGGGTTTTGCAGCCTCGAATTCTATCGTCTATTCCTATGAAGTTCTCAAAAAAAAGCAAGGAAAAAAAGGGATGAAAAAGCACTTCTAAAAAGTTGAATTCATTTACCATCACAACAGAGCGTAGTGGTGACATTTTGAAGGTCCTGAGCGGCCTGCAGGGCGTGGTGGTTGGAAGGGTGAATGTTTAATTAGCTCCTTCCTTCACTAGCTAAGGCTTTTGCTGGAAGACACGCTGGCCAGCCAGGCAGCCTCTAGGGCGCCCCCTCCTGCTCGAATACGTGCATCACTCTTTCCCGTGGTAGCCAGTTGAGAAGGCAGCCATTGGCTGTCCTATGGCCAGACTCCTTCCTTAGGGTTGGCCTTGTGGAGGTCCTTCCCGGGAGGGTGGATTGTGGACACCCAGCTCCAGTGTCTAGAAAATCATACCAAGAAAGTCCACTTCAGAGGTCTCTTGTCCCTGGTCCCGAGTGGGCTACGTTGGGAGTGACAGAAGAGAGTATTACTAACTGATGTTTGATATTCTTTGGAAGCAGTTTAGAAGCATAATTTTTAGATATAACAGCCTATTAATAGAAGACTAATAATAGCAATAGTAATCACTATAGCTATTGTAGAATATTAATAACAATAACTAACTCATTAAGTTTTTACATGATTAATCAAGGTACCCAGATCAATGCACTAGTATATGGCTCCTCAATAATGCTCCCCCCAAATGTGGTAGGTACTATTCTTAGCCATGAAACTGAGGCACAGAAATTTTAAATAGAAACCCTAAGGTCTCATGCATGACACTAGAGCTTTTGGGTTTTAATGGCTGTCGTACTGCCCCCTAGTGGGTGTTTAGAAGATTTGCAAGAGAGCCTTTGGCTATCTCAAACATGGGTGGCAAAACTCTGGCTAAGTTTTTAGTTGTTGCACTGCACAGCACAAGCATCCAAAACAAGACTTTCCCCAGTCCTCGGCAAACCTCTTTAGAGCATTAATGCCTGGACCAAAAAGCGCTTCTCATATAAGCTTAGCCAACGTCAGTTCATCATACTACTGAAACGTTTGTGTGGGGTTTGACGCTTAAGGAATAAGCTTCATGAGCAGCTGTGTGAAATTATTGTGAAGAAACTTAAATGGACTATGACATAGTCTCAAAATTACCAAATAACGCAATCTCACATACTGGCAACACATTATTATTATTATAACATTTATAACAGTTCGTGCAACTGAGACTTCTTTCCGTGTTGCCAGGCTGTGTTACTTAAGAGCAAAGAAACTGGCTGCAAAGCATCTGCCCAAGGTGAGCAGAACACCCCAGAATCACTGAAGAGAGCCCTCAAACCAGTGGTTCTCGACCTGTGGGTCATGATCCCCTTGGAGATCATACATCAGATATCCTGAATGTCACATATTTACATTAATTTATAGCAGCAGCAAAATTACAGTTGTGAAGTACCAATGAAACAATTTTATGGTGGGGGGGTCACCACAACACACCTATATTAAAGGGTCACAACATTAGGAAGGTTGAGAACCACTGCCTTAAGCAGAGGTCTCTGGAACGAAGCTTTGAGAAATTATTTTGGGAGCTAAAGAGACGACTCAGCAAGTCAAAGTGTATAATGGTCTTTCAGAGACCTGAATTTGGTTTCTAGCACCCACATCAGACAGCTCACAACATCTGTAACTCCAGCTCCAAAGCATCCTGTTCAACATGCACCTGCAGTTACGTGCACATTACACACACACACACGCACAAGTAATAATAATATAATAATAATGTCAGGCATGGCGGCACATGCTTTAATTCCAGCACTCAGGAGGCAGAGGTCAGAGAATCCCAGGGAAGCCTGGACTACATAGTGAGACCCTATCTCAAAAAAAGTACTAAAACCTTTCATCTTTTGCCACTCTTTGTATTTTCCCCTAACTTTTAAAATGTTCCGTTGTATGCAGAAGTCAAAGGCCAGTTTTGCGGAGTTGGGTCCCTCCCTCCAGCTTTATGTGGGTTTCACAGTGCCTGTATCTGCTGATTCATCCTTCCAGGCCTGGTCCTTTAAACCTTTTAAGTTTTGTATAAATGCTCGTTTCTCTATCTTTCTCTGAAGCTGTCCGAGGACTCACCCGTGACTGCTTTTCTCAGCTCATCCACTGCTCCCCACGGATCTTTGGGAATGCAATCCACTGAGACCATTTAAACGGATGAGACTTCATGGCAGATGTGCATCTGCTAGCCATCCTAAGCCCATTCAGTGTCATGACAGTGGCCCCACACAGCCCACTTCCC